GGGATAGTCCCTTTAACCCAATAAACGGTGACTGAGAGTGTAAAGTACGCTTTTTGACCGATAGGCACCCAGCTATTCCATTGACTTATGTAAGAAGAGTTCACAAAAAAATGTGTGACAATAGGCCGCATATAAATCCATGAGAATAAAAGTTTTATACCGACATCGTGTCAGTCGTCCTAATTAATCGATAAGTTTCAAAGCGATCATTCAATCGGTGTATAATCACTGACAAGTCTCAGTCATTAAGTCAGTTAAAGGGACCCTCCCACCTTAACATAAGATTTGAGTTGAGATAGCCAAAATGGGGTCCCTGGCTCACAATTACCGGTTTCGGCACTCGCAACATCGAGAAATGCCTTAAATCGGAAATATTGAATTTCAAAATTGCAGCATTTTGATTCAGAGGGGCTAATGCATAGGTATACCCCTCTGAATGTGTGACGTCATCGCAGATATTTAACGATTTTTAAATGTTTGACTAAAACGTTTTGTAGCACGCGGTGGGATATGCTGCTTTGCGCGCAACAAATGCCGCACTTTCAAATAAAGTCGCTAGGAACAGCGGGGATTCCAAAAAGTAAACAAAAGTAAAAGTCTAATATCTTGAAAACCGGTGAATATTTTTCGATGAAATTTGGTAGATATGCTTTTTTGCTCTTTCTGAACCGAGCGACATCACTTTTATGCCAATTCATTAACTTTTTTGAAGGTGGGAGGGTCCCTTTAAGCCGGTATACCTACCACCATTATAACGCCTTTTGGGGCGACTAACGGAGCGAGCGAGGGGGTGAGCCTTGCACGTGCGAAATGGCGAGGGGGTACCTCCAACTGAGTTGTGCACGGCACCCTACTACCCGGTCTCTAGCGATGTGCCAAATTTGAGCACAATCGGCCCAGCCGTTCTCGAGATCTGGAGGCGGCACCCTGCACGTGCGCACGTGCAAAATGGGTCCCAACTGACTTTTGCACGGCACCCTACTAACCGGTCCCTAACCATGTACCAAATTTGAGCGCCATCGGTCCAGCCGTTCTCGAGATCTGGAATCGACCCCTGCACGTGCGCACGTGCAGCAGCACCTCAACTCTGGCACATGGATATGCATTGCATAGTGGGTGCCTACCTACATGCCAACTTTCAGCGCAATCGGCCAAATAGTTACCGAGATATTGCAACAATTGCAAAAGTGACACCCCTTCGTTTTGCACGTGGCACGTGCATAAGGGGTCACCCACATGCATCGGGAATAGTCCAATACTTGGTAGAAGGAATGAAGCTACCCTACAAAAATTACCGCATGTAAATCGGTCAAGTGGTTGCTGAGATATAAGCCTCGCAAAAGCGTGACCACGGCCGGCCGGCCGGCCGGCCGGCCGGCCGCTCATACTCAGAAATTTCCGTTAATCTAAGGAAAGACTACGCTCGCTTCGCTCGCTCCGTAATTAGCAAAATATGCCTACCTACTTATCCTCTATGTACGGACCAGCATATATTCATTACACAATGTTTTCCTTTACCTACATCATCTGCCACTCTGCGTTAGATACGTGGAAATGTCTCTGATATGCTCGTTATCGTCTGCCTAACACTTGCTGCTTCTCACACGTTTACACCCGATAAGTTATCCGAAAAATTCACGACTTAACATCTTTCTTTAGTTATGATAATTATTTACCACCAAGCTCAGTTCGCTCCACTTTTTCATTCATTGCCATGTAACGCCGTAAGTCGTATAGGTATGAGCGTCAACCCTCACCCTGATGGGGGAGGAGTTAAATGCCCCCATAGCTTTTCGGCATTTATATCGACAGCGCGTAGCGCCATCATTCGTTTTAATCAGGGCTTATAATATACCTACCTATCCTGTCTACATATGTGAAAACTTCAGATCCAGGTCATCTTAGGCCATGTCTCCAGGATGGTCACCTAGCTGGTCCCTGGTCGACGGCTGGTACCTAACTGGGGCCACCTAACTGGGGACCAGCTAGGTGACCTAGCGTCGTAGAGCCGCGATTGCACTGAGGGCGTTACGAAATGCGAGGTTGCGAGTGCGACATCTGAGGACTGTGCATAAATTCACTTATGACATCATAGGTCAGTGACCAGACCTGACCTGAAAATGAAGTTGGTGTTACAAGAACCGGCTTGAAACAATGGTCAGGTATGCCAAGTTCCAACTTCCTATCTCCGGCATGTTCGGAGCTATCGCGGTAAAAAAAAAAACTATGGAGGGCGACAATCCCTCGGCCGGCGAGGGTAAAAATCAAGACCAATGTTTTTTTTTTTTTTGACGAACACAAAACTCAACAGCCTATTTACAAAGCGTCGATACTGCATCTGCACTGCCTATACCTGTATGTACCGTGTGTGTGCATTTTGTTCACAGTTGATTGACCACGGGCCGGGTCATGAAGCCGTCGTCCTGGGCACGGGAACCACCACCTTCAAGGAGACGACCGGCAACTTCATCATCAACGACACGATCACGGAGCGTCTGCCGCTGAGCTCCTTCTCCGTCTCCGCGGAGAGCGAGTCGGCGGCCACGGTGACGCTGTGGTCCTCCACGGACGCCGAAAGCACCGTCACCCTGCGCTTCAGCACGTCCGCGGACTCGGTGCTGATCGGCGGCGGCGCCGCGCGCCCGGAGCGCTTCGACCGGCTGTGGCTGCGGCTGCACGCCGAACCCGACGAGACCGTGTTCGGCGGCGGAGAGCAGTACACCTTCTTCAACCTGCGCGGCCGCGACTATCCCGTGTGGACGCGCGAGCAGGGCATCCTGCGCGACCCGGACAACCCGCTCACCGACATCATCAGTCTGGACGGCGGCGCCGGCGGCGACTACCACACCACCTACTGGCCCGAGGCCAGCTTCCTCTCCTCGCGGGGCTATTATTTCCGCAGCGTGACGCACGAGTACGGCGCGCTGCAGTTCAGCTCAGAGGAGCGTCACGAGCTGTACACCCAGTCGGCCGGCGCGCTGGACGTCCGTGTGGCGGCCGGCTCCCCGCTGCAGCTGGTCCAGTGGGCCAACACGGGCCGCCAGCTGCTGCCCGACTGGGCCTCCGAGGGCGTCATCCTCGGCCTCGAGGGCGGCACCGAGTTCATGATGCAGCGCTACCAGCAGGCGCGAGACGCCGGCATCAAGGTGGCCGGCATCTGGATCCAGGACTGGTCCGGTATCGTCAACACCGCCTTCGGCGAGCGCGTGTTCTGGAACTGGCGCTGGAACGAGACGCACTACCCGGGCCTGGACACGGTCATCCAGACCCTGAAGGCCGACGGCGTCCGGCTCCTCGCCTACATCAACCCCTACCTCAACATTGACGGCGACATCTACCAGAACAACAGGGACATGGGCTACTTCCTCACGGACGCTAGCGGCGCCGAGTACGTGCAGGACTTTGGCGGCTTCAGCTGCGTCACGGTCGACCTGCTATCCGAGCCGGCGTCGGCCTGGTACGAGCAGCTGATCCGCACCAATATGCTCGACCTGGGCATCTCCGGGTGGATGGCCGACTTTGCCGAGTACGTGCCCGTGGACGCGGTGTCTGCGGGCGCTGCGGCGCTCAGCTCGCCGGCGGCTCTGCACAACACGTTCCCGGCGCTCTGGGGCCGCGCCAACCGGCGTGCCGTCACAGCCGCCGGCAAGGAGGACGACACGCTCTTCTTCGTGCGCTCCGGCAACACGGAGCAGGCGCAGCACGCCGCCATGACTTGGTCGGGCGACCAGAACGTCGACTGGACCACCACCGACGGCCTCGTCACCACCGTCGTGTCGGCGCTTTCGCTCGCTATCGCTGGCTGCGGACTGAACCACTTCGACATCGGCGGCTACACCACGCAGCGGCCGTTCTTCGTGCGCTCCGAGGAGCTCCTGCTGCGCTCGGCAGAGTATGCCGTCTTCACGCCCGTCATGCGCACCCACGAGGGAAACCGGCCCGACGCCAACGTTCAGTGGTACTCCAACGAGCGCATCTTGGCGGCGTTCGCCCGGCTCTCCCGTCAGTTCGCCGCGCTGGCGCCATACACGCGCGCTGCCCTAGCCGAGTACGGAGAGTCACACACGCCTCTGCAGCGACCGACGTTCCTGCACTACCCGAATGAGCTGAGCGGGTACACCAACCTGACCGGCTACCAGTACCTGTACGGCCGCGACCTGCTCGTGGCGCCCGTGTACGAGGAGGGCGCGCAGAGTCGCCGCCTGCGCCTGCCCGAGGACAGCTGGGTGCACCTCTGGACCGGGGAGCAGTGGCAGGGGCCACAGGAGGTGACCGTGGACGCCCCTCTCGGCCAGCCGCCCGTCTTCTACCGGGCCGACTCAGAGTGGGTCGAGCTCTTCAAGCAGATCAGTCAGATTACCGAGTAGCGTGAAACCGCGGGCACCGGCGCCGATCGAACGGCTCGAGGTTTCGTGCCCAACAAGGTTAGAGAAGACTGAGCAAGAGCAGGTCCGAGCGGCGACCGAATTTTACTTATTTATTTATTGCGGTTTAAGCCGAGTGACGACAGAGCTTTGGATTGGTGGGCACTGGGCGCCAAAAACCGGCTAAGTGACTTCTCCTTGGCCAGTAGCTAAGAGGCGAGTCGCGTAGTGGTCCCTAGCTACGTGGCTAGATATGTTGCTCAATGGATGCGTGCAAAACGTGCGTATTGACCTCTAAACGTATTTGACCTCTCATTGGTCAAACAGCAACTATGTAATGTAGCCGCGTATCTGTGCCCGACTCATAGACAACTAATGAGGGCTTGCGCTGAATGTAAGCTGCTTGCATTCGTAATATCGACTGTTGGTGATATCGAATAATAAGAACATCATACTCCAATCGTTGTAGTAGTTGAAATCGAAGCACGCGAAGTCGGCCCAGTTCTCTCATAATGCTTGTCCATACAATCCCCATGACATCGATTCGGACGTTAAGTGGTTATCGAGAAAACAGTGGATAAATTTGATTCCAAAGATCAGGCCAAGAGTGACAAGTAGTAGGCAACACACAAAACGTTGATCCGTTTCATTGTATCTCAATCAAACAAGGCACACCAAACAGCAAAGCGATATTCATCTGCATATCGCAGCCATAATTACGCAATCCATGCAATAATCACAGTAAATCAGAACCCTGGCAAGCCAGAATGAATAAGATGACCAATCAAAGACACAGGGGCAAACATCACCTGCTATGCTTGCTTCGCTTGCTATGCTTTGAGGCATTCATAGCTGATATCGTGTGGGCGAGTCCTGACAATGGAAACTGAACATGCTTTAATGTGCATGTTCATTGTTCAGTACCAAAGCAATAATTATGCAATCACCCAACGAAGTCGCAGAGGCGATATCGCTAAGGCTTTATCAGCACATCGCAATCCACGCAGCACAACCGGAATTCATTATGGGACGTTCACATTTTCAGGAGCAGTCAAAGCACAGCCGATAACAGTCACACATCAATGCCGTCATGTTCCCGATCTCACGCCGTCATATCACGCCGGCTTTACGACAGGGTGCCACTCCTCCTATCAAGGCGCCGATTTACAGCGCGGTGCACAGTTTACGGAGGTCGTAATGGCTATGTAGGTGCCATCAGGCTTGTCGGTGTGACATGCCACAACCGGTATCTTGGTCTTCCCAATGACACAAATTCAACAAAGCAAGCATAGCACAACGCACAACAAGTCACCCAAGCGAGTAGTGTTTAGGTTTGACGGATGGCGTCAAATCAGGAATCCGGTTGGATAAAACAACGTTGCAGCAAATACTGCCGGGGTGGCTTCCCAGGTAAAGTAAATAGATTGAAAGGGTTCCAGAAAATTGCATAACATTGACAAAAATTTCCAATAATTCAAGCCATATGATGGTAGGATTATCACGTCCCTACGCTACACGAAAGCACGGTGTGAAGCTCTAAACCAGCGATAGCACTCCCCACTCCCACATACAGTTCACACGATAACAGGTGTCACCACAAACACCTGCAGGCCGGCCAGGTCCCATTGAGCGTCCCCGTCATTCACTCTCACTCGGCTAGGAATAAAGGCTGAACCGGACTGAATACATCGCACCGCAGACCACACAAATGCCCTCGTCATCACACATCCCGGGCACGCGCACACACGCGCTGTCCTGCGCGGCCCACGCACCTGACGCCGTACCCGGAGTCACAGATACCGGGTGTCCACAGGTTAAAATGTCCAGTGTCGGCCCCAGATCGGGTGCACCGCGCTGTCAACACACATTCCGCCGCGGTGCATCGTGCCGGCGCACTACCGGCGCGAACTGGCGGCGTCAAACACCGTTTCTTCGTCCTCGTCGCTATGGAGCGGCGCTGTCTCGTCGTTGGTAGACAGAACGTTGTAACGCGCCGTCTTCCGATTCCGGCGCAGCCTACAGAAACACAGCGAATGAAATTCGCTAGTAAATTTATGCAAGAAATTAAAGACATTCCTGTGATGATACGCGTCCAAAAGTAAACAAAAATGGGTCACGCTGTTTACAGCTTTAGGTGACGTCAGCGTATTAACTGAGTGATGACGCACACAACTGCCCCTCGCCCCAGCAGGCGTCGGATTACAGTGAGATAATTGCCTGCGAGCACCTGTTTACTCCCACCACTCCGGTGCCAGCCGGATCCAAAGTCCACAGACCATATGCGGTTTATGCGTCCATTCACACACAAAAACAACCTTTCTAACTGCACCTTACTCTTATCACCGGCGATGTCCCTTCAATAGTAACCTCCCTAGCAAAGGCCCCGTAGGTAGCACCTTTGCCATCTCCCGCTACCCTCTACCCTCGAGTCCACCCCAGTCGCCGCCCCGACTGACCGGCACGTTCTGAAGGCGATGTAGACCACCACCAGGGCGCAGAGCACGCCGAACACGATGGAGCCGCGCATCAGCGCTCCGGGACTGATGTGCTTCATCATGCCGTCCGCCTGAGTGGCGTTCAGCAGCGGCGCCTCCGGCAGCACGCTGCTGACGCTGGCAGCTCCGGCAGCTCCGCCGGGTGCTGCTGGATGATGGGGGGGGGGGGGGGCACAGAGTCAGCCGAGGCACCATGTCACAGGGTGGGTTCACATATGGGATATACCTACGGCATCTTTGCACACTGCACAGTGCCTTCAATGTGGTTTTACGAAGCTTGAATACGTTTTCATATTTTTTTTTTAGTGTTTCTTTCTGTGGAAAAAAACTTTAACGCAACAAGACTGAAAGAGCTGTAGACATAGGTATATGTAGAGAATGAGATGTCAATTCAGCATCATATAGTATTTATATAGGCTGTCAATAGCTTTTTAAATTCAAAGAAAAGAAAGCAAGACATCACATACTATGTCGAGCAACATGGCAGGCATGTACAATTTAGCAGAAATGGTCAGCAATTCACTCACCGTCAGTGACAGCACTTGTTGCAGATTCCATAGTTGTTGAAATGTTTGGACTCATCGTCACATCCATCATTATCATGAAGTGTGGAATTCACTTGTAATGCTCAGATACAAATGAGGTCATTTGGTTTTACCTGCAAAAAAAAATACACATTTATAAGCCATCCCTATTCAAAGGACCGGGAATTTCGGCGGGACCGGGTTGGACGTGTCGGCGGCGGCGTCTCCTGCTTCGCTGACCGCGCCCTTTGTCCCGAGCGACGGGAGGCGTTGGAGCCGAGAGGAGCCGAGATGTTGGTGTTGTCGGTGCAGACGACTCCCCCGATGCTGCTCGCCGTCTGCTACTGCCCGCCGGACGATGCGGCTGCGCTAGCGGCGACCATGACTGGTCTCTTCGATCTAGTCGGCGCGGCTGCCGGCAGAGCTGTTGTCGCGGTGGGCGACTTCAACGTGCCGGACGTATCCTGGGCTGAGGACAGCGCGGGGGGAGGCGGCGGCGGGGCGGTGCCGATGCTGACGCGACGTTCGCGACGAGCCCTGGAGTTGTTGGATGGCTGTCACCTGGCCGGCCTGGTCCAACACGTCGGCCTACCGAGCCGGGGTGCCAACTACCTGGACCTGGCCCTCTCCAACGGACAGAACGTCTCGGCAACTGTGCGGGACGGGGTCTTCCCGTCGGACCACAAGGAAGTGATTTGTGAACTGAAGGCGGTTCGAGCGCCAGTGCCCGTGGTGTCCCGCAGCTCCGCGCTGAACTATAAGCGCGCGGACTGGGCAGGGCTGCGTGAGGCGCTGCGACTCGCCCCATGGAGCATGCTGGGCGGGCTGCCGGTCGACGACGCGGCAGACATCTTCTATGACCTGCTGACGGCCGCCGTGTCCGACTACGTTCCGCTGGTGCAGCTGGGACGCCGTCAGCCGCCCTGGTTCGACCGGGAGCTGCGCGCGGCTCTGCGGGAGAAGGAGGCGGCCCATCGGCGGATGAAGAAGGCGAGGACGGCCGACAACAATGAACTGTTCCGCGAGAAACGCCGGGGTTTTAAGCGTATAGCAAGTGAAAAATTTCATGCGTATCTCACTGGTCTGGTTGATGATCTGAATACCAACCCAAAACGATTCTGGTCATTCGCGAAATGTTTGAAAGGTCGAAACGGCGAAATGTCTCACCTCTATGATGGCGATACAAAAGTAACTGGGAGCCTAGACAAAGCCGAGCTTTTAAACCGCACGTTCGCGTCGAAGTTCAGCGACCCAAATGTGACTGAGCTCCCGCCAGCCCCGGCCTATCCGTTAGATCCGCTGCTGTCCTTTCATGTGGGCGAGGGCACAGTACAACAAATACTGTGCAACATCAGCCCGCACAAGGCATGCGGCCCTGATAATGTGAGTGCCCGGGTGATTAGAGAGTGCGCGGTGGAGCTGTCTGTGCCTATCACTATGATATGTAGACTGTCGCTGGAGCAGGGCGTTTTCCCACGTGTCTGGAAGCGTGCCAATATTGTACCCATACACAAAAAGGGTCCGAAAACATGCGCAAAAAACTACCGGTCCGTGTCCCTCCTACCTCTGTTCGGCAAAGTCTTGGAACGAGTAGTTTTTACCGAGCTTTTTCAACATGTGAAACCGGCCATTTCTGCTCAGCAGCATGGATTTATGCCCGGCCGGTCGTGTGCTACAAACCTATGTACCATGTTACACGCAGCCTGGACCAACATCTCTGCAGGATCTCAGACAGATGTCATTTACACAGACTACAGTTCGGCCTTTCAAAGTGTTAACCACAGTTTACTCCTTCACAAACTAAAATGTTCATACCAGATTTCAGATAAAGCTCTAGATTGGATTCGCTCATATCTGTCTGGGAGAGAGCAGAGAGTGGTGGTCCAGGGCAAGTGTTCCCAGTGGGTGGCTGTGAGATCTGGCACACCGGAGGGCGGATTGATCTCACCGCTGCTCTTCGCGTGCTTTGTGAACGATCTGCCTGGTGTTATCGAAACAGAAACGCTGATGTTCGCTGATGATGTGAAGGTGTACAGGAGAGTCGATAATGAGACAGATGTCAATTTCATCCAAGCCCAGCTGGACAGCCTGTGCGAGTGGTCAGATAAGTGGAAGCTGGAGCTGAATCCAAGCAAATGCAAAGTCCTGACCCTGACCCTAAGGCGTAAACCAGTGTTGGGAGTTTACACGATAGGAGGCGTATCGTTGGAGCGTGTTAAAGTTATGCGAGATCTGGGCGTTCTTCTGGACCAAAGGCTTACGTTTGGAGATCATGTTGAGCACACCGTACGCAAAGCTAACAGAGCGTTAGGTCTACTTATGCGGACATTTGCGACGGGAAAACGAGGACGCTCGCTTGACGTGTCGAAACACAGAGCCTTTTTATCAACGTACTACGCCAACGTCCGCTCAATACTGGAGTACTGCAGTGTAGTGTGGAGTGGAGCGGCGCGGACACACATGCAGCGGATTGAACGTGTGCAGGAGAAGTTTCTGGTTTGGCTCTGTGCCCGCTCCCATGTACGCGGGGTGTCGTTTGTTTACCGTGACCTCACTGAACACTTTAAGGTGAACACACTAGCTGCCCGACACGAGCAGCACGACATTATGTTTCTCCGAAACATTCATCGAAGCAAAATATGTTCGTCATTTCTTCTGGAAAAGTTTCCCATACACGTGCCGCCCCGGACACTGCGTACACAGTCACTGTTCGCTGTCTCGTTTGCAAGGGTAAACACTGTTCGCTCATGTTCATTCAACCGCATACCGAATGTGTGCAACGCATTCTTGGAGGCGAACAGGGATGTGGACGTCTGGGAGAGTAGCATGGCAGAGTTCAGGTCAAGAGTGAAACGGTATGTGAGTGAGAGACACAGATAGGTAGGTGTAACTGTTCGGCTGTTACTGGAAACAAATGTTTCTAGTCTGCTTTGTTTTTACTGTGCTCGTTTTTACTGTGCTTGTTTAGTGTGTATCAATGTTTTATTTGTTGACTTCATCTGTCATTGGGGTAACGCCCGTTGGTGATAAAAGAATAAATGAAATGAAATGAAATGAAAGTATGTCAGCCCACATTATCAGCGCTTTTCCAGACTTTTTTAGCTTAGGAATCTGCCAACATGTGAAATGATCCTTATCCCATGGGATTATGACTTATGCGTAGGTGTTGAATTTATGTGAAGGCTAGGTCAACTGTCAAGGTCACTGACCTTTGATGACTTCATTCAACTTTGTTTCTTCAGTCAAGTCTTACCCCTTTATAAGATAATAGCACCATTGATCAACTGACTGATAATATGATACATCTGGTAAAATCAACAGTTTTTTAAAAGCTATTTTTTACAAATATAGCACCCATTTGCCTGTCCTGTAGCTCAGTTAATAGAGCGTTGGACTCCACGCAGTAAGAAACCGGGTTCGAGTCGCTCTGGTGCTCGATATTTGAGACTCCTGACGGGAATTGTCTGAGGTTGGTGGGAGCAGTCGCAGCCAGTTGAAGTCAGTTGAGTGGAAAAGGTCGTGTCCGGCTTGGAAGGGCACGTTAACCCGCGCCCCACTGGGGGGAGGCTATTCCTGCCCCCTCCCGTTTTTCTGCAATAACTTCTAAACCGCTTGACGTATCGCCGCCAAACTTTCAGTACCTTCGGCTGCATCAATTTGACACCTTGTGTCAAAATTTGAACTTCGTATCTATCATAGGTCGGCCGGAAATGACGTCAGAGTGACGTCATGTTCGGCCGATTTCGACGCAAAACATTGAACCACGGGAATCGCTCCCAAGAGCTCAGTTTTTGAGCTAGATCCAATTTATTTGCATTAGAGGACTCCAAGCCCTGATCGGCGGCCGGCTAGTACTCTTGCCCGCGCTCACATACGTGCACGTTACCCCGGCAACGGGCTATTGACCAATGAGAAGCGAGAAAAGTGTTACGTCACTGCGATTTTTCATATACCTGTGCCCCCCGGACGTGACGTAGTGTGCTCGCGCGCGTGCAGGGTCTCTGCGATCGAAAAAGAGCGCTAGCAGCGCGCCACTCGACGCCGCAATTGTCAAAAGCGGCGTGTTAATATGCTTTATTATGAATGATGTGTGTAAAAGTGAGTTTTTATGTTGTTTATTTGGAGGAAATGGTTGGAATAAATTAAGTTATTTTTATTTCTGTTGGTTGGAGTTTTTATTCAAAAGATTTCGGTCTATACCGTTGATAATTACCGAAAATAACTTCGCTTCAATAAATTGCAGATATTTGGCAACTGAAGTGTTAGGTAAGCCTAAATGATATGTAAAAAGGTAAGAGACACCCTGATTATCATTTGAGAAACGAAAATATATGAATTTTCCTTATAAGACTCGCTCAATATGCTACCCCGCGGTTTATGCCCCGAGGGTGTCCGAGGGTTCCCGTTAGTTTGTCGCTGGCGCTCGGCTCGCGCGCGAGCTGACGTCACCGCCTGTGACGTCGGCTCGCGAAATACGTCATACCCTGCACACAAAATAGCCGGCTGCCGAACAGCGCTCAGAATGGACTGAGCTATCAAACTGCTATCTCGAATTTTCAAAATTATGAAAATTTAGAAAATTATATATATTAAAATTAAAAAAATGTATTTTTATCTTTTTTCAAAAACTTTTAGATTTTTCGAAAAAACTGGAATACATATGATAGAACACACATGTTTATGACTTACTCTAGCAAGTTTTAGCCAGATATCTTCCAAAATGGCCAAGTTATACGCATTATAGCAAAAATTTCACGATCTTCAATTTTTATGTACGAATTTGAGATCGCACACCAATATAAATAGCACCATCGTGTTCCTGAGCTCAAACTGCATCCGATAGACATGTTTTTGTTGAAAAATTTCAACTTTGAAATTTGACTCTTTTTGACCTGAAAGTGACCTGACCTCAGCATCAGCTATATTCAGATGCAAATGGCCTCAAATGACACAGGCGACACCAAATTCGAAATCTATGACCTAAATGAACCATAAAACTTGTGTCACGTGACCGACTTATGACATAAGATTTCCGTGACCTATGATGACCTGACCCTGACCTGCAAGTTTCGGTATATGTCAAGTTTAGGTCCTAACTACAATTGTGACGCTGTTGATACGAATATGAAACAGCAAAAATTTTAGGTTTTAGGTTAGGTTAGGTTGTAGGTTTGTAGGTTTTAGGTTGTAGGTAGGTAGGTTTGTAGGTTAGGTTAGGTTAGGGTAGGTTTGTAGGTTGTAGGTTGGTAGGTTATAGGTAAGTAGGTAAGGTTAGGTCAGGTTTGATTATGTTTTTTTTTCTTTTATTTGCGAGACATATGGGTATCATTTTTGGATTCAGGATGTCAAATAATGTTAAAATATGAAAAATTTATCAATGAAATCTTCTTAGGACTTAAACTTGACATTTACCCAAGTTTCGTACCCTCAGGGTACCTATCTAAAGCATCTGTTCACGAGTGTGTAAACCAAAAATCAGCCTGATCTGACTTGTAAGACGGCAGCCAGAGCCCAAAAAGTGAACAAGCCAAATAAATACCGATAATTTTTATTTTGACCTGACCTGTGACGTCATCGGTAACCTTGAGGTCAATGAAATTAGGTTTCGCTCGATAGTTTTTCCGGGGCTATCAGATCAGATGCCATTTGAATTTTGACGATCGGCACAGTAGTTTCGGAGCTAGGAGGAGGGGCTATGGATAGCCCCCCCCCCCCTAGTGCACAGTGGGGATTTTTCCGATCTAGCGCGTCTTAACCCGCGCCCTGGTGGGGTCTGTTTAGTGTTTATAACGCGACCTGGTGGGGGGGGGGGCTATTTGTTGCCCCCCCCCCCCTTCGTATCTCCGAAACTACTGGACATATCCGCAAAATTCAAACGGCGTTCGAAAGGCCTGTCAAATTTGTCGAAGGAAACCAAATTTCATTGACCTCGGGGTCACCGATGACGTCACAGGTCAGGTCATAGATGAAATGTTTCACCGTTCACGGGTCTTCTAGGGAATGCGCTATAACACCGAGGAAAACGCATTTTGTCGAGAATCAGCGATAGGGCGTCAGTTCCCTAGTGCATGTGCTGCTATTAGAGGTCACTGACAATACCAGGTCAGGTCACAGGTCAGGTCACCAAGGGTCACAGGTCAGGTCACATGAACCCAACTTTAGGTACCTACTAAGGTTGTGCGATGCATGTTTTATGGCCAATTTCTCATTTCCAACTAAATGGTGTTGGTTATAAGACTATCACGTACGGCTTAGGTCACCTTCTGGTGAAGGTCAGGTCAAGGTCAGGTCAAAAAAGGTCAAATTTTGAAGTTGATAGTTTTGCATAAAATGGGTATTGATTCAATGCAGCTCGTCACGGGGAGTCTAATGGTGGTCTTTGTTTTAAGCTACGGGATTTAGAATTGCTAAAAATTGAGTTTGAAAATTTGACGTCATCAATTTTGACAGTATTTCCGCTATAACTTCACTAAAAAAGAGGCATCAATCTCAAATTTGGTATGTGGATAGAAGGCGGTAAGGACTATTACATATATTCCGGTCTTTGCGAAATTCAAAAAACTTTTTGGATTTTTCGGCCATTATATTCAAAAAATCTATTTTTGATTTTTGGGGGTCAAAATCTAAAAATTTCAAAAATCCGAGATAGCAGTTTTGTAGCCCTGTCAATACTACAGCTTTTATGTCTTCATCATTTTTCTGTATTTGCAAAGCTATAGGCCTGACAGGTCTTCCCGCAAACCCTTTTTTGTTTTTTTTGGAAAAATTTTTGGTCGCAATGTGTAAAATTGATGTCCGGGAGGGTACATGAAAGTTTGGTGACGATCGGCGCAGCGGTTCTGGAGATACATAAAAAAGTCTGGAGGGGGCAAAAAAATAGCCCCCCACCAGGGCTTGGGTTAATTTAAAAAATGGGTTTTTGTTTATTTTTTTGTGTCAGTGTGGCTAATAAATGTCTGAATATTTCATATATGGCATTGTTTTATCTGTATGTCCATAGCAAGACTAGGAAAAATGCGCCCAAAGTTCACACTAATGCTTGATTACTCGATGGGCCCAGTACAAGTAAGGCCCGAAAGTATAGCTCAATTTCATTCTCCTGTCCTGTTGGTTTTATTCTTGCGAGGTCTTAAAGTTGCATATCTTCTGAAAGGCACCTGTATCAGGAATTATTGCACCAGATGGCAGCACTTATTTTAGAAAATCAGTGTTTATCTTTCCAAAATCGTGATTTCCTCGCTGAGGAGTGAAATTGGCTTCATCGTGGTCAAAAATAGCAGAATCGTTGCAATTTTTGGCACGTGTCACAAAAATAGCACGTGCAAAAAATGACGATTGACCAAACCTCCCCCGACTGCTATACAAATAAAGTGCCTCTCTAGTACCACTCACACTAAGGCAGGTACCTACCTTGACCTACCAAAAAAAGCCTCCAACCCTCCATTGGGCAAATATCAAAGTACCAAATCAAATCAAGTATTTGCAAATCAAAGTATGAAATCAAATGAAGTATTTCAATTTGCAAATTACAACGAAATCAAAATTGATACCGATCCCGATGAACGACATGAACCTGAACCGGACGCCGGTGAAAACAGGGCGCCGGAGGGCATATAAGTCACGTGACATTTGGAACTTCTCCCGCTCCAAGAGCCTTCTATATCCCAAACGTCACGTGTAAATTTCACGAACCTTGATCAAATCAGCCGCCTCAACCTATTTACTGTGTATCACAAATGACGGTATATCACTATATCAATATATGGCCTTGGGTATATCAATATGGATTATGGACGGTTTGGTATAAGACTATTATAGAGTTCAGTGGTATAGACAGTATCATGAACTCATTGATATACCCAAGGCCATGAACTGCTCGACTCCGAAGGTGTAGAGTAGTTCTCCTGCATGCTCTGACCTATTCGATAAAAAATTTGATATTAGCCTTTAAGGTTTTTTGTTTGATTCATCATTGAAATTCAACTATTTTTCACTGCTAGGGTATAGCTAAAAAGTTGGCATTAGGGACCTAAACAGTCTTGAGATGCTAATTTTTATAAAAATAATCATGTATCACGTGACCTTAGAGTGGGCCCAATTCCTCAGTCCTTGGACAATCTTTTCTTGGCGCGACTGTTACAAACGTTTCTTACTGACAGATAATGACTTAAAAATGACGTAATCAGACAAAATGGCGCAGGTATATATTTTTATAAAAAAAAGATCATATTTTAGGTTTATTCTAATGCCTACATTGTAATTTTTATAAAACCAAAAAAAATTACAATTTTAACTAAGAAAACTGCCAGAAATATATAATTTTCCTTCAAACAACAGAAGTAATTGGGTAATGACTTATGATGTCATAGATATGATATTCATAAAAAAGATCACACAGATACGAATTTCGCAGCAATGCGTATCACTGCGTTGTTTTTTTTTTTTTTTTTTTTTTTTTTTAGCAAGCTCATCAACTGCTAAACATTAGGCGCACTGAAGTTACTCTAAATCCTCCTATGATTCCATTTTGGCTCCTCAAAGACCTATCCATTGAATTTCTTTTTGATTATAAGAAGACCAGTATACCTCCGGTGGAAGCTCAAATGCTCTTCCAGGAGTATGTAGAGCTCAACTGCGACTCTGCTTTTTTCTTCACAGATGGCTCATGTCACGAAAATCAGATAGGTTCAGCAGCCGTCGGCCCTGGGCTTAGGTTTGGGACCCGGCTTCAAGAATTTACGACAGTCTTTAGTGCCGAAGTTCACGCAATCGAAAAAGTTATGGAGCACATCAAGGCAGAAAAGATTGATCGGGCAACCATCTGTACTGATTCGAAATCCGCTCTTCAAGCACTGGAAAGGACCGATAATGTTACCCACCACGGTATCTACAATATTCTCAGGATCACATCAGATCTCAATGAGGGCCAGCATGTGACCCTTCTTTGGGTTCCAGGTCATTACGGTATTGCAGGAAATGAACGTGCGGATGTCCTCGCAAAGGAGGCTGCAATGCGACCTGATCCAGTTGTGGAACCTATGGCCCAAGGGGACGCTATTCATATGATAAAAATCAAATTCGCCGAGTACCTTCAACGCAAATGGGACCAACATCATGCTGCACATATGTATGCGATCAAACGAGAACTTAGAACATGGGTCACATGTAACCAACCAGACAGGATACGCGAGGTGACCCTGGCCAGATTGAGGTGTGGTCATACTCGCCTCACCCATGGCCACCTTTTTGATAGGACGGGCCCTCCGATTTGCCACACCTGCGACACACGCATCTCCGTAGAGCACATTTTGATCGCATGCACGGCATTGCATCACGAACGAAGACACATCACTAACTATCTTGCGGTACAACACCTTAAAAACGACCTCCCGACGCTTCTCGGGGACGACACAACATTGACAAACCTGGTACTTGATTTCGTCCTAACATCACCCTACTCAGAGCTACTTTAACGGCCTTGACTGTTAGCAGGCGCCCGTTTCGCTACCACCAGGCTGACTTGTGATACGGGATGGGTCGGGTTTTTCGCTGGTGCCGAAACACAGAGCTTCGGTGGCAGACGGGTTTTCTCCTGCCGCTGGAGCAGGCTTAGAGGCTCAGCGGCCCAGCGAGCTACACCAGCGGACCCCGGCCGCTGAACAGCGGCGGCGGCCGGGTTGAACGACCACAGACAACCGTCGGCCGCCAACTGCAGCAGCGACAGATTCCCCATCCTCCAAACCATTCCTTTCATCGTGACGCTTAAACATTCACAAACCCCATCCCTCCCAGCGACATATCCCCCACTCTTCAAACCATTCCTGTCATCAAACTCTCGTAACCTTACCATTCACAAACTTCCTCCTTCCCTCCCTTCACAAACATCAATTTACCGGTAAGTTTCACTGTCATTTATGTGTCTTAACGTAAATTCATGGGTTTTTTCCCATATTCATGGCATAGTACATGGATATGGGTTTTCCCATGTTGTCTTGCTGTAAAAGTGGCCACCGGTCTTAGTTAGGACGGCCGGTTTGTTTTGCGCGGCGTAGTTAGGTCGCCGCCCTCCTCGCGAGGCCGGTAACGTAAGTTAGGGCCACTAAAAAAAAAAAAAAAAAAAAAAAAAAAGCGTTGTTTTTGTTTCTGTTGCTGGGGCACTGCAAGATTAATTAGCACTGCATTATGCTTTAGGCAAGGCTTTAGGGCCCTGCACTGCATCAACAAATTTGAAGTGGATTGTTTCAATTTCTTCTTGCACGAGTAAGTGCTACCAGGTGAAGTGTTGAGTGTTAACTAGGTAACTGCTTATTTCTATTGATTTACTGCATGTTTGTGACAGTTGATGAGTGTCATCTTGTGGGGCAACAAACAAGTGTGAGAGTGAGCCCACCACGTGTGGAAGTACAGGGGGTCCTTCCAGCTGATTGTGCATGGCAGTTGGCACGCTTTAAGCCAGCCAGACTGGAAAACATTGTACACTACAGCGGATGCCCGTGATACCCTCTTGCGCCCAAATTTGGCGCAAGCGATTTTGTTCTGAAATTTCTGCATATGTGCAGAAAATTGGGTGCCTATTTGTACCAAAGTCAAAAACTAAGCCACTTTTTATAAAGCACATGTACTCATCTACTGACGGGCCATGAAACAAGGCTGGAGCCGGAAGATCGGGGTCTACAAATATTGGCGGAGCAGTGTGCTGTCTCCTGCCACACACCATGTTGTGTTATGTGACATGTGTTGTCGCCCACCATTATATGGCGGGAGCCAGCAAGGACCGGGCAGCAGAGCAGCACGTGCTCTGGCACATCAGCCTCTTCTCGGCACACTGTGCAGAGCGCCGCGGGGCACCGCTTGTCTGGGTACTACTGGCATGCCATGGAGTAGAGACAGCCGATTCGGTGCACATACTGGAGCGAGCGGTTTGTTTGTTAATTAGGGCTTTAAGGCGCGCCGACTACTAGGGTCATTTTGTGCCCCTAACGTCGTACTAATAAAACAAGTGTGTCAAAAGAAAGAACCTTCTAGATACAAAGGCTAGATGGCGGGCCAGGACTGTGGCCAGAACTGTGGCCCGCCGTCATCTGGTGCACCGAAACGGCGTTCTCTCGGTCCTCTCCGGACTCCGGAGATAGGCCCCCTAGATACTCCTCGGTGGCGTGCTACCGAGGAGTGGCTTGAATAGTGACTCGGACCAGTTGTCGCGCCATTGATGAGAGGCTGCACAATGAACCGCCCTGATCAGCGAGCGGTAGTTCAGGGCGGCCGCTTGTTTTGCCAGGTCGTCTGCGCTCTCATCCCCCTCGATGCCGCATTGGGCAGAAACCCACTGCAGTATCGGCGATGTTCAACAAGGTCTTCCACACCTATCTCGACGCCGAGGGTTGAGGCCTCACCTGGGCGGCCGCTCCTCCGCTGAGTACATAGACTCGGGGCGGCTCGCCAGTTCGGGCACGCAACGACCGGAGCGGAGACTTCTCGTCCCGAAACCTCTCCAGAGCCGCAGGCAGGGCGAATCTTCTGCTAGATTGACCAGCATGCCGACTAAATTCGGTGACCACGGCCCTGTTTCACCGGCAGTGTTCCATTTTTCAGACTTTTTGGTGGCAAATCACACCTAATGGGGAAAATACTTTCATCCCTAAAATATGAATGACCAACTTTACTTCATCTCTGAAAAATGTTTCATGTATTCTCAACAGCCAGTTTACATGTCACTTGACAGTTGATGCACCTTCATCCTTTTGTTTCACACCATGTCAAGATCCTGACATGAAATCCTGGTTTATCAGTTGGCATAAAAAATTGGCATTACACCATTTTGCAAAAATACTCCAGTTATTTACTTCCCTCTTTCTCATCCTAGGATTTTTTTCTTCATCGGCACACCCAACCAAAATCCAATTTTAGAACACTGTTCACCGGTGATAGCAGCACGCTGCTATTACACGTGTCAAATTGGGTTTCCATGGAGACGTCAACAAGCCTATTCCTCCAACACTACCAGAAGTGTGACGTCAGCTCGCGAAATGGAATAGCAGCGCGCTGCTATCACCGGTGAAACAGGGCCCGTCTTTCGCCAAAAAATTCCGCGGCCGCCCTGCGCCGAAAAATTCGGGCCGCCGCCATGCGTTGAATTTGGCGCATGCGAAGTTACGCCGGACGTGCGCTGAAGTTTTCGGCGCAATCCCGCCACTACGCCGGACATATTCGGCTTAACGTGTACCTATTTTTTCCAGTCTGGCTAACCAGTCCTCGGCGCCTGGTTGTGCGCTCAGTTTGAGCCAAGCTGGCCCAGCTGTTCTTAATCCATGCCCTACTGGAGTGCTGGGGGTGTTTGAACACCCCACCCCCACCCCTGCAGTTTTTTCATGAATATCTTTATACTGGGCATTGGGCAGTTATTATACATACATACTCACACACTGAAATTTCTGTTATTCTACAAAACACTTGTCTCGCTCGCTCATCTGGCATAAATGGCATTCCCTATATTAACATTGTTCATACACCTATACCTACCTCGTGGCTTATGCCAGTTTCTCACTTCAATTGGCTCTCGTAGTCTTGGTCTTTTTCCCAGAGAGAAAATTATGGATAGACTGAAAATGGCTGGATTTTACACCAACCAAGTGCAACACTAAAGGTAAATATCAGGTCTACAGAATCGGAGTCAGAGTCAGTCGGACTCGACAGTTCTGTGGCCTGGGGTCAGAGTTGGCACTGTATGGCCCAGCTTCATGCTGGATTTCTGTTTGCTGGAAAATGTCAGATTTGTTTACATACTTTAAGAACCGTGTTTTATAAGCTTATGGCCATATTTCTCTTCTTGAAAAGTGTTTTGAGCATAAAAGCAGACATCTCAGTTGGAGCCGATTTTTGGGAACCGGAGTTGTCGGGGTCGCTGAAAATTCATTGACTCTGCTGCCCTGCTGAGTGCTGAATACGTATTTGTATGCTTCACATTCTTATTTTCGTAGAAAAAGATAATAGAACACCCTGGATCCGTTTGGAACCAGTAAGGGGCCTCTTTTTTACATTTCTGGTCAGCAATCGGACGTTTGAGAAACGGTGATGTCCCGGGTACCTGTCGGTCCGTCACTGACTGGCTCGGCTCCGACCGCTGCTGAATAGTTCACCGACGCCAGACGCTCACTCGAAGCCTTGGGCTCGATGGGTGTGGCTGATGTCTCTGCCGAAAAGTGGCCGACCACCCTGGGTTCAATTGGTGGCGTTGCTCGGTCGAATGTGGCAGCGACCAAAAGTGCATATGCGCCTGATCTTCGAAGCATTCAACAAAGGAAGCTTTTACTGCAGAGCCCGTTGCCAGTTGTCATTTCTCGGACAATGCATGAACTGACGCTTGTTTCTTAGAATTTGCGGACTCTTGACATCATATATGTGACGTACGTACTCTGCTCGTTCGGCGGTCTGCTGTCCTCTGTGGGTCGATTTTCTTTTTAAAGTTTTCTGTGGACTGCACTTCATGATCTTTTTGTGCGGAACAGCTTCCGCTTTTCCGCTCCATGTGTTCCCCCGGTAAAATGAGCGTGACGGGCTGGAAGGCCGGACTCACGCGGAGGCGACGTTTCCATTTAGCAGCCCTGGGGCGGTGGCGGCGATGAAATGGGCTGGGATGTTCGGACGGGGCGACCGGCTGGCGCCGTAGGCTGTAGAGCAGGGACGGAGAAGAGGGGGGGGGAGAGGGAAAAACGGACAGTGGAAAATACGGCGCTATCTTGTCAAGGTTCGCTCCGTCTAAAAAGTCGAATTCATGCCTCCTTACGGCCTGATGGGACATCGTGAATCGTATGTCATTAATAGGAAAGTATGTACATAATTGGGCCTCTGGTAAGTTCAGCGACCTACCTCATTTTGTTGATTGTAAAGCTGATTGGCATGTTGATAGAGCGAAAATACACCATCCCACTGACGTGTTAGCGACAGACCAGTGCGGATCCTGGTACAGTCGGGTTCGCGGGGAGGGGGCGGTTAGGAGGGGCGCCTAACTGCGCAATCTCCGCCGGGCTGGGGCCCATTTCCTCCTAATGGTGCGCCACAGTCTGTATTGAGTATGTACTGCCGCCGACTGCCTCTCTGGCCCCAGTAGAGTGCCCCCGGCCGCTGCGCTGCCCCAGTGGAGTGCCTCCGGTGGTCTCTGTGTCGTGCCCCACGGCGTGTCGTGCCCCACAGCCGCTGGTCACGGCAACACGGCGTGGTGGCCCGCTGTGATATACCGCGTGCTACTGCACACACCTTCATACGTGGTCCGTCCGAGACCAGTGGTGTCTGCTGTATGCTACTGTGTGCTACCGCGCACAGTCGTTCCCATGAGTCCGTCCAGGTCTGCGGTGATTGCTGCGTGTTGCCTTCGCAGCCCCCCCCCCCCCATACACACACATAGCCCCAGTCGGGTCGGTGTGCGGGGTGCTCAGCTAGTATACTACCTCGGTGTCTGGTGTGACATGCCGGCTGGTGACCAGCTCCCAGAGGCCGATCGATGACCGGCGGGTCACCAGGCGCCGCCCCCGCCCGTCGCCACTCGGTGCGCTGCCAGCGAGAGCTAATGCCACAGACAGGCTGCGGCCCATAGCCGGACGGCTCTCGGTTCCCACTCCCTCACACCATGGCTCTGTAAGATTGTCTGCCACAGCGGGCCATCAGCGAGGGAATGTCGTGTTTAAATATTGCCTTTTAGGTCCTTTGGACTCTGTGGAACAATCTTTCTTGGATGCCGTTTGGCTCTCGGTGACAGTTCTATTCCTGTACAAGTGCACACTGTCCACATGTTTCACGCTCCTAGGCTGTCTTGGTGATACATTAGTGACGTCGCTCAGCTCTTCTTCTAAAGATAAGCGGATTTCTAGAACTACCCCCGGCTTCCATTCACACCTGTCAGTTTCAGCGGACTGAACGCTGACAGTGGGTAGTCCAGCTCCGCCTCCGACCAGTTCGGAGCAGTGTGATCGCAATTCGGTGACCAATCGCATACCCCTCAGTCAGTAGGCTGTTCCATGACGTGGCAGGTTTGGGGCGATGAAGCCATGACGAGCGGTGGCCAGAGTTCAGCATAAACACGGCTTTTTCGAGTGCGCAGTCTCCGCCGTGCCGCCCGCCAGTCTGTGCGTCTGTGGAGGGTCGGGTGTCATCAGACGGAGAGTGGCCGCGTGCGCCGCGCTGCAGCCCCTGTTTATACCGCGGTGATGACGACGGTGACGCGCTCGATGACGCGGTTGTTATTGTGATTGTTGACGCTGTTGGTGGCGGTGCCGGTAGTCCCCGATTTCGTACACTGAGACTGGGGTAATGGGGTGGTGAGGAATTAAAAGCGTTGTGATCGTTGGGTCGATATGTCCTGATTCTTTGGTCCAGTATTTTTTTTTTTTTTAACAAACTGGTGTGAAGTTATCCCTCAGGCAAGTCAGTATCCTACATATTTGTATCGGAATACAAGTGTCTGGGCAAACATATTGCGGTGTTTTCAGTTTTATCGGCTGTAACTCCTTTTTGGTGCAACCAGAAACGATTGGCACGTTTGCTCATTTTCAAATCAGCTTAACTCGGTATGACTCCTGCTAACCAATGTGCATTTTGCAGTTCACCTAACACAACACTTAATTCACCTCATTCTAGACGTCAGCCCTCCTAACCCACCGGTGTCTTTTCAGACGTAGCGATGCGCGGCGGCGGCGGCGGCGGCTGGGCCGTGCTGGTCGTGCTGGCGGGCGTGGCGGCCGTGACCGCCGTGGAGTACACCAACCAATTCGCCGTGGTGGTGGCCGGCGGTCGGGAGCGCGCCGCACGAGCCGCCGCCAAACACGGCTGCTCCCTGGTCGACTCGGTACGAAACGGACGGGACGGGGGAACTCTAGATAGGTAATGTATTAGTTAAATCAGTGGATTAAGTCTGCGCGGAAATGGTAATGATTACGACTGTGTATACTGTATACTTAACCAAACACAATGACCCCTGTGCTCGCCTCACGCGGCCTCTCTGTGGAGTTCGTTGTGCTCCTGGATTTCCAGTCGGACTGGCATTCCGAGAAATATGATACGGCGGTGATCTGGAGAGTTTCGACTCTGCCTTTTCTGCCGCTCTGCAGCCCCGCTCAAGTATTTTCTCCCGTCACTCGAGCCATTTGGCCTCTGGGAGCAACTTTCCTAGGCCAGCTGTGGCGCTGGCAGCTTAGTACGGAATCATACCTTGTTAGGCTGCTTGAAAACAGTGTTTTTAGTGTTTAGTGCGATTGCAATATCTTTGTTTTGTTCTTACTAAGCACGGTGTCATTTTGATGACCGACGATCGCAGCAAATCGTTACACTCTATATGGTTTGTAATGCAAGTTGCGTTACAACTGATTTATTGATTAGAGTCGCTACCTGCTGACATGCGGGCATTTTCCTCGTGGGGCTCACTTCGAGAACCGCTAGCTGCATACAAATGCCAGTTGCAAAGGACCCCGTCATTACACCTTACTTGCGTGACTTTTGCGATTGCCAATACCATAAAATTTCATCGCTGGCTTACTTGCAAGGCAATACTCTGGCATGAATATTATTAGCACGGGACGTTGTTCGACAAAGGCTGCTCGTGTCTGTCCGTCTAGCGCAGACTCTGCAGCGTGTTACCGTTTCAGTCAACTTCAGCCTAACCTTCAGCCCTAGTCATGGTCAACTTAGTGATCCTTCAATCAACTACGCCGGAGTCGTGGTACTCCCTAGCCGTGACCTTGACCGTGTTGTGACTTCCCCTCTCTTCCTGCCCTCTATTTCTCAGATCGGCGACCTGACGGACCACTACCTGTTTGAGTGTCACACGGTGCACAAACGCTCCACACAGCACTCCCAGCACCACACCGACCGGCTCCGGGAGACAGACGAGGTGAGGAGAGCCGGGGGAGAGGGGCTCCGGTGCGGTGCAGGGAGAGGTGAGGAGCTCGGGGAGAGGGGCTCCGGTGTGGTGCTGGGAGGCTGCGGTGAGAAGTCTGAGGGAGGCGTGGTAAGTCTGGAGTGAGTCTCGGTCGGAGGCCGAGGGAGGGGGCAGAATATAGCGGTTTATGGTTGAATTAAATAGGGCTAGACACAAAACTGGCAGTGATGTGAGTGCGAGTATAGTTATACACACAGTCTTTCTTCCGTTGCTCTTCTGCAACATGTATCGCCATGGATTGCTTCGTCTTTGGTCAAAGTTGCGTGTTGCGTTTTGTGGTTGAATGGCGACTAATTGCTGTTCTAACGTAGAACGTTAGCAGCCGCTGCTTTCCACACTAGGCCGTTTGCATTGCAGCTGACTCTTTTGCCGTCATCTGAGCGCGTTTTATTGCCGGCTTTGTTTGCTTGCGGTATGTCGCGTGGTATGCTATATCAGAGCCGCTGAAATGATCGTACAATATGCAATATCCCCGTTGGTGGTAGATCGCACTGGCAGCGACCCTCACTTTCTTCTACGTGCTCAGATACTATGGGCGGACCAGCAATACTACAAAACGCGCCGGAAGCGGGACGGCGCCGGTGACGGCGGTGGGCTGACTGAGGAGCTGCTGAACGAGATCTCAGACTCGGGGCCCTCGGCGGCCGGGCCGCTGCGGCGCGCCACCCTGAAGGAGGATCCTCCGCCGGCCAATCAGGAGCCGCCGCCTCAGACGGAGTTCCGGCGCAGCACGGCGGCCGACTACTGGCCCGACCCGCTGTTCAAGGAGCAGTGGTACCTGGTTAGTGCAGCTGGGGTGGTGTTCCAAACACTGCTGTGGTCTTGTGTTACTAATGCTTTGCAGTTCTAATCGTTATCCTGATTGCACATCTATGCTTTTGATGGACATATTTTTTTATATCTTGCCAGCAATCATTGAGCATCTCTTCTTCATCTTCTAATTGTATCTATCTTCTATCTGACCGCTCTATTTCTCCTCCGACCGCGCTGCATCTCCTCCTGACCGCTTCATTTCCCCTGACCGAGGTGTGTCTGCTCTGTGCCGTTAGAACGGCGGCGCCCGGGACGGCAGCGACATGAACGTGCTGCCCGCCTGGCAGCAGGGCTACCGCGGCCAGGGCGTGGTCGTCTCCATCCTGGACGACGGCATCCAGCCCAACCACCCGGACCTGGCCGCAAACTACGTGAGTCGCCGCGGCTGCAGACCGCTCTGAGCAACGAATACGGTCTAGCGTTACTTATATGGCAGCTTTCTCATCACATGATGCCTTAACTGGGAGCAATCGTACGTTTGCAGTGCACTTTTTTACGTTTTTACTGAAGCTGCATTGATTTCAGCTGCAATCACAAACTTGGACCGCGAGTTCACTGTGAGTTCAGTCCCAAGGGAAACGATGCAAAAACTGCTCTTTACTCCCGGCGTCGAGGGTGGAATGTCGATGTGACTAGCTTCTACAACCACTACTAAGCAGCAGTCCCTCCAACCGCCCTCTGGCCGCCAGCGACAGGCAGCCAGACGTGTAGAGCTCACAGAGATGTCAGAGTTTCGGGTGGTGTGGTTTACAGGCCACAGAGCTGTAATTGCCATAAATTCGTCAGAATGTTCTGAATAGGATGTAGTTGTGATTAGATGTCCTCATCCTGTGTATTTATGCTGTGAGGGGTGATTTAACTCGGCTGTTAATTTGATTGAAGTATCAGACTAGCCTGCCCTTGGCGACCTACTGTGATTGTGCAGGGTTTTACTGCGGTGCGGGGAGGGGGTACAGCCGACAACGAAATCCAATCAGCTGGGCAATACTGGGTCACGGGGGTGGCTTACCGACTGCCCCGGGTACCGCGGTCTGTGGGACGGGACAGGGTCGTATGGGTCGGTAGGGGGTCGTTTGGAGGTATGTACAGAACATTATAGGAGGAGGTGGACCGGGACCCCACTGCGCACAACTAAATGCGTAGTTTTGCATTTATCATAATATTTCCTAGTTTGACCATATGCCTGTAGGAACGCTGTTCAGTGACATATGGAATCGATCAATGTCTAGTAAACCTCACCCGCAGATTGCTCGTTCTCGACTTTGCGTCAACAACACACAGACCGCTCTCCAACCGCAGACATGGTTTCCGATTTCATCATATGTGCCACATGCTGCGCTTCCTCACTGACCGCACAGTGGTCGCTCGGCCGCCTGGCTGACCTCTCCCCCCCCCCCCCCACAGGACGGCAGGGCGTCCCTCGACATCAACGACGACGACGACGACCCGACACCGCGCGACGATGGCTTCAACCGGCACGGCACGCGCTGCGCCGGCGAAGTGGCCGCCATCGCCGGCAACCAGTACTGCGGCGTCGGAGTGGCACCCAACGCCAGCATCGGAGGTTAGAGACGCGGCTGCGTCAGTGGGGGGGGGGGGGGGCTGATAGACGTTACGGGCGTGACTTGGGTGGAGAGTAGGGTGTATCGTCGAATTTTGATTTTTTTTAATCGTCTTCACTACTAAATTTTATTGGTCCCTGGCATGTTTGAAGCCGTAGGATACCAATCAAAAAAATCTGGGACGAAAACCTAGCCTGCTGCGAGCGGTTGAACGGAAGCCTGTCGGGACGGCGCCAGGCGTTGAAGTCTCCCCGTTAGTTACGCGCACACTAGCACCACGCGGCGGCTGGCGCCGTGCCGCCGCGTTCCCGGTCAGCCGTGTTTTAGCGTTCACTGACGGGTCGAGGTGATTATTCTAAGCTTTCCTAAGAAGCTTTCTGCCCCGCAGCTCATTATTGAGCAAGAATATCGCACAAACTGCATAGAACATTGACATGCAGGTTGTCGGCACATATGGAGAAGGGGATGTTTTGGTTAATGTCTCCTTTCATAGGAAGAGATTGTGGAAGAACAACACATTTCTCTTGGAAATAACTCATCCTCCTTCTTCCTACGTGCCTGCTTTAGTAATCGAAGTACCCCTATTGACTCTACGTTCTTGATTCGGCTGTGGATTTTATGCATGGAATTCCGCTATATTATATTTTCTCGCTCAATGTCCCCTGAGCTATATTGAGGCGTCACGGGACAGCAATGCTCAGCATACAACCGCAGAGAAAAAGTCAATGTGGCCATGCGTTTTGTATGCCAAAATGTGTGAGCCTTGGTGTGTACCAGCAGCCGTTGTCACCATTGTAATTTTCTCGACTTTATCTTTATAAGGATGCAATTCCCCACTTCCTAGTTCCCAGACTGGGTTTGGAGATATAGTTTTACAGAAACATTTAGGAATGTCTGTAATGTAAGTTAAAAGCTAATACCGAAAGGAATGCACATATTTTCGAATTTCCTGTTTGCTGTATTGCTTAGTAAATGCCAGACGTCATGATGGCATGGCTGCGATTGATGGTATGCCGGATGGCCAGGGTACGAACTCACGGTAAGTCAGCTTGGCCGGCAGGCATCAACAGGCACAATAGTCTTACACTGATATCGTCACCCTCAGTTATTCGTCACCATTCAGCAACAAGCCCAGAGCTTCGGGCTTTGAACCGTAAGGTACAGGTGTAGGAGCAAGACATTGCGCCGATTCGAAGGGCTGGAAGGGCAGCATCGCGGGGGCTGGAATGCGCCTGAGCGGCTGAGACCATCCCATTGGGACGGGGGTGTTCTGGGTGCACTCAGCCGCTCATGCTGGGAAATGCATCCAATGGAGCTCTCCATTCGAATGATTAGGGTGACCTTTAGTCTAGAACAAGGAAGGATGACTGTTGGCTGGTCCCGAGGATAGATACAAAGGACAGGTAATGACATCATATAATGAATCGAAGACGGCCCCGGCCCGATCCTCTGATAGAGGTTCATCAACACGTATCTCGTTGTGGACCATTTCGTTTTCCTCCACCGTAGTTTTTGCACCGACCTGAACCGGTTGGAAGGTAACGATGTTCAGAAACCATAAAGATCGTAATTGTATATTCGTTGTATATTCGTTCACTGAGCAGGTAGGACAGGTTCAACACAGTGAAAACCTCATCCTATCATCCAATAATTATAAAGTAGTCTTCATGGAATGGAAAGGCTAACCTAACTCAACGAATATACAATTACGACCTTAATGGTTTCTGAACATCGTAATCTTCCAACCCGTTGAGGTCGGTGCAAAAACCACGGTGGAGGAAAACGAAATGGTCCACAACGAGATACGTGTTGATGAACCTCTATCAGAGGATCGGGCCGGGGCCGTCTTCGATTCATTATATGATGTCATTACCTGTCCTTTGTATCTATCCTCGGGACCAGCCAACAGTCATCCTTCCTTGTTCTAGACTAAAGGTCACCCTAATCATTCGAATGGAGAGCTCCATTGGATGCATTTCCCAGCATGAGCGGCTGAGTGCACCCAGAACACCCCCGTCCCAATGGGATGGTCTCAGCCGCTCAGGCGCATTCCAGCCCCCGCGATGCTGCCCTTCCAGCCCTTCGAATCGGCGCAATGTCTTGCTCCTACACCTGTACCTTACGGTTCAAAGCCCGAAGCTCTGGGCTTGTTGCTGAATGGTGACGAATAACTGAGGGTGACGATATCAGTGTAAGACTATTGTGCCTGTTGATGCCTGCCGGCCAAGCTGACTTACCGTGAGTTCGTACCCTGGCCATCCGGCATACCATCAATCGCAACCATGCCATCATGACGTCTGGCATTTACTAAGCAATACAGCAAACAGGAAATTCGAAAATATGTGGACTCCTTTCGGTATTAGCTTTTAACTTACATTACAGACATTCCTAAATGTTTCTGTAAAACTATATCTCCAAACCCAGTCTGGGAACTGGGAAGTGGGCAATTGCATCCTTATAAAGATAAAGTCGTGAAAATTACAATGGTGAAAACGGCTGCTGGTACACGCCAAGGCTCACACATTTTGGCATACAAAACGCATGACCACATTGACTTTTTCTCTGCAGTTGTGTGCTGAGCATTGCTGTCCCGTGACGCCTCAATATAGCTCAGGGGACATTGAGCGAGAAAATATAATATAGCGGAATTCCATGCATAAAATCGACAGCCGAATCAAGAACGTAGAGTCAATAGGGGTACTTCGATTACTAAAGCAGGCACGTAGGAAGAAGGAGGATGAGTTATTTCCAAGAGAAATGTGTTGTTCTTCCACAATCTCTTCCTATGAAAGGAGACATTAACCAAAACATCCCCTTCTCCATATGTGCCGACGACCTGCATGTCAATGTTCTATGCAGTTTGTGCGATATTCTTGCTCAATAATGAGCTGCGGGGCAGAAAGCTTCTTAGGAAAGCTTAGAATAATCACCTCGACCCGTCAGTGAACGCTAAAACACGGCTGACCGGGAACGCGGCGGCACGGCGCCAGCCGCCGCGTGGTGCTAGTGTGCGCGTAACTAACGGGGAGACTTCAACGCCTGGCGCCGTCCCGACAGGCTTCCGTTCAACCGCTCGCAGCAGGCTAGGTTTTCGTCCCAGATTTTTTTGATTGGTATCCTACGGCTTCAAGCATGCCAGGGACCAATAAAATTTAGTAGTGAAGACGATTAAAAAAAATCAAAATTCGACGATACACCCTAGTGGAGAGCCTTTGTCGTGTGGTTGTTGTTGGGTGTCCTGGGAGCTCTGAGAACTGGAAATGTGAGTTGATGTTGATTGAGTTTCGCCGTATTGTTTAAAGTCGGAGACTTAGGTTTAAACTATAAGTGTTTGTGGGTTTTGAATGAGAATGGGGTCAATGGGTGAAAGGATCCCCCAGATTTGAGCTTCGCGACGTGTGAAAACATTGGTACTCTCGGTAAAGGAGTAATAAAGTAATCTTGGCGTGGAGTGCCTATCAGACGCGTTGGGAAAAAATTGCGGGGGACGACAGCGGCGAGGCCCGTGCTTCTAGATACCGAACTGTTCACTGTTCAGCTTCCCGTCAGTCACACCATCTGATAGGGACGCCAGGGTCCGAGGCAGCTGGTTGGGATTTATATCACCGCAAACATCCTGTACGGTTACAACCACCCCTCTCTCCCAGCCACCTCTCCCGCTCTCCCAGTCACCCCTCCTCTCTCCCAGCCACCCCTCCTCTCAACCACCCCTCCTCTCTCCCAGCCACCTCTTCCCGCTCTCCCAGCCACCGCTCCTCTCTCCAAACCACCCCTCCTCTCTCTCAGCCACCCCTCCCTCTCCCTGCGGTGGGCGCCGTACCGCCCAAGGCCGTCCGGTCATATCTGAGCCGTTGCCCGTTGGGTCTCGAACCGCTGGGAAAGTCACCCTTGCGCGGAGCTGTCTGGTGCTTCGAATCTGACCGACCCGGTGCCGACTAGAGATGTCAATCGGATACCAACTTCTTGGTATACCGATACCAAACCGATGCCAAATTGGTAATTTGGTATTTCAGTTCTAATGCTTTTGGTATTTTGTTGGTATTACGAACCCTGACTAATGTATATGAGGCTGACAATTTGGTAAAAAGTTGGTATTTTCCTCGTTTTCTCAAGTTGTTTTTTTTTTTGGTATTTTCACATGTTTTTTATTAGAATTTGGTTTGGTATCGGTATTCCGATTTTCTGTAATTTATATCACTAGTACCGACGGCGGCGGACGGACTCGGTGACGTCACACTGATGTCATTAGATCCGGGATGGCTCCGCGGTGGTCGCTGGACGTGTCCTGGGGCGACTCTGACTGTGAATTGAGACTATTGGGGTGGCCAAAGTTGATTGAGATTTGAGATTAGCGTTGACTTTGGTAAAATGACCGAGAGGGATCAAAGGCAGCAGCAGTTTAGTGTAATTAGCTACTTCGACGTCAATGGCCATTAAGTATATTATGTATATTCTATCTTGACAGCCTGGTTTTGGGTATGTCTTCTTATCATTGTTAACACCGAATGTGATTGGCGGGCCCGGGTATCTTATTTCTGAACCACCTCACATCGAAGTGCCGAATCCCGTTTCTGTCTAGGGTTTCTCCCTCGCACTACACTGCTTATTGCGGGCGCGGCGTCTCTGGTCCCCGGTTCTGATCGTCCGGTACGTGGCTGTATCTTTGCTACCCTTCAGTCCGTCCATATATTTTTCTCTGTCACCATGCGGGTATACGGTGTCTCCGTCTTTGGGTCTGTTCTGTACCCTAGTGCATTGCTCTTCTGGTCCGTGGTCTATATGCTATAATTTCTTACTCTTCCTTGATGGTCATTTGGTCTGGTCTGGTCTGGTCTGTCCGTCCCGATCTGGTCCGTGGTCCGGTCCCTCCCGGTGTGGTCTGTCTGGTCTGGTCTCGCCTCACCGACTCCGTCCACCGCCTGCCCCCGGCTCAGGAGTGCGCATGCTGGACGGCGGGGTGAACGACTACGTGGAGGCCAAGGCGCTCAGCTACCGCAGGAACTACATCGACGTCTACAGCGCCAGCTGGGGTCCCGAGGACGACGGCAAGACGGTGGACGGGCCCGGCCCGCTGGCGCGCCGCGCCTTCATCGAGGGCGTGCTGAAGGTAGCGCTGCCGGGAGGACGCTCCCCACTCCCCGGGAGGCGGTCCGGGAACCTCCCTGGTGTGTGGGAGGGAGGGTGTAGCAGGTGGCGCCACTGAGCTCGATTAGACGGCGCATAGAGGCTCTGATGCCGGGCTGACTAGCCTCTCGTGCCCTCTAGTGAACTGAAGGCGCACCCGCCTATCTGCAAGCTTGTGTGCTAAACAGTTCGCCATCCCGCATGCTCTGTATCCCGGCTTGATGTGGTCTGTCCCTGGCTTACTTGTTCTCTGGCATGCGAATCGTGTGTCCTGCTTGCCCTCCACTCACATAGCTCTCTGCATATACAGGGTGGGGCAGCATAATCGGGAATGCTTTTTGGGCTCTGGTCATGAGTAGGCATGGCATTATTTTGATAAATTATATCATGGCAATGAAACGCCCAAAAGTTGTGCATCATCTGACATGACTACATCCATGAGCATGCAACTTCCTGGAAAAGAGCAGCAAAATAGTTCGACGGTGCTCCAAGTGCTTTGCGCGCGCCCATAGACACTAATGTTAAACGAGTAAAACAAGAACATTTTGTTTAAAACAATGCCATTCCACGTAAAGGTTGCTGGACAGGTCAACGTGTTATCACGGACGATAAGGATTGTGTGGGGATACTTAGGACAAAAAGTTAACGTAATCGTCGTAAAATAACTCTTAGCAGAGGACATACAAGATGACTCACTTGAATATAAGGAAGAAGCTCTTGAGCATATTAAAAAGAAACAATGTTCAAAACTTCAGCGACCAAAAATCTTATCACCGACTGGAATACGATAAAAAAGAATGGCATGCCATATAGGGGATTGTATCGAGAATATTGCAGCGGTCATGCAAAGTAAACATCCTGTTGATGTGATGGACCTATGGGTGGTCTTCAAGGGAGGTGCACGTGGTGCACCCTACTTCATCGAGCCCGGATAAAACGAGCACCTCTGGTAAATACATCCACACTCTGGCAGACTCACGTGGAGTCGTCGGAAGAGAGGATCACTGACGGTCCAGATCACGTCTTACGAGGACTCTGTCCGTGCTGGTACTGCAGTGAGGACGACATGTTATTGTGTAGGGCACCTCCACCTGAGATGAACCAAAAACTTCTGGTCCTTCAACTCCGCCGATTTAAATCCGACCAAATTCTTTATATGGAGCGTTTTTTGGTAGAAGTTTAATGAACAACTTATCATCAGTAAAAACGGTCTTCAGTGCAAGGTACGAAGCTGATGGGCGATCATGGACAAGCAGGAGGCTGCACGTGCATGCGCGTGCTTTTGGACCCGCCTTGAGAAGGTCATCGACGCGAAGGGCGGTCAAATAGGATGAGGGATAGGTAAAAGGTGACCGATTGATGGGATGTTGTTAAAATAGTGCTTGGAGCTATATTTTTAAATTCATGACCAAATAATCCCGTTTGATATTTATTCCCGATTATGCTGCCCCACCCTGTAGCCACCTTACTACCGAGGCTGTGACCATCAACCCATCCGTCGTTTCCATCCTCAGGATACTTAAACACTTCTCCTCCACGCCGCAACTCCAAATCCGGGCTGGATAAGCAACTAACCTCCCTGTAACTCATGCGGGCTGCTCCCTTGGAGCGGCACCGCTGCTCCCGAGGGAGCACCCCCGTAGCCTGGTGCAGTGAGTGCCTTGGGGCTGGTTGACCTGTCCTTCGGGATGGGCTCAGTCCCGGTGACTCACAAGGGTGCCTGTCCAGACCAATGTCTCCCCCTAATTCCTATCATCCTCTGGACCCTCCCGGCTCTGAAATGGTCGTCTCATTGGACCGAAAAGACCTAACCCAACAAAACAAACAAACAAGCAAACAAACCTGTCTGTATGTGCACACCTTTCCTCTACAGCATTGATATTTTGGCAGTGTTTGCTTAGACTTTAACAGCTAACTGGGTGCTGAAACTTTTTAATAGATTCAGATCCTTCAGCGACTGGAGTTTCGACAAGTTTCCGCAAGTATGCTAGAAAAGCATCCTTGATGCCGGGACCCGGGAGTAACTTAAATATGTATTGATATAGTGTTGTGTATTTAAACTGCAGCTGGTCTATTTCCCTCGCAATGGATTGCGTCATATTGCCTAGGTGTTTGCCATAGAACGTTTGCCTAAGGTCTGAGGCTCATAATCTATGGTTTAAAAAATATATACGGTGGGCGTAGATTGACAAGAGAAATATCACTGCCGTAAACAAATATAAACCCCGTAAACTCGTAAACCCGTAAACCTGCCGTAAACTGCGGGTTTCTAGGTTTTGTCGTCGGCCCAGAGATGAAGCACATCTGTATCTCGATGTCGTCCAATACAGCTGGGATTTCTGCGACCACAGCGCACTCTTGACCTTACCACCACTGTACTGGTCCCAATCTGAGCGGCGTGCGTTCGACCCGGCCTACTCCCACCTATCCTACCCGGCGTAGCTTTCTCTCCTTCTGGATTTATGGGACTGAGCCTTCAGTAACGTCCCCTCTGCGTCCCCCGCAGGGCCGCGGCGGCAAGGGCTCCATCTTCGTCTGGGCCTCCGGTAACGGCGGCCGCTACGTGGACAACTGCAACTGTGACGGCTACACCAACAGCATCTTCACGCTGTCCATCTCCTCGGCCACGCAGGGCGGGTGAGTGCGATCGGCGGGAGGGTGGAGAGGAGGGCTCGCGGAGTGGCTGACGGTACTGGCTATGTGCTGAGCACGGGCCGCGGTTACAGAGACTTGACATGCGACCGCGCAGGGATTGATAATTTCGGGAATAGCGCAAACTAGGGTAGGGCGTGTGCTTCCGTTCAACGCACCAATCCCGGCTAATGCACGTAGGATGCGCAGATGGCCCAGCCAGGTTCCTTCTACGCGATAACGACATTGCTAACTCTGGAATTTGGAGTCGGATATGAATGATAATCCTAAACAATATCTGCGTACATCTTGAGGCTGCCCAATTTATTGGAAGCATTCGCATTAAAATTTGCAACATCATCATATATCTCGCTCAGCCTCCAATCCAGGCACATGCTTAAATGACAGTTGACATCATATTTCAATGAAGTCGAAGCAAAGTAACACCGTAGTTTTCGCAAACAACTGCATTTTGACAATGCGTGACTCTAACTTCGACCTTTTGCGACGTAAACCGGTAATATCGTCTTGTGTCAAACGAATGACCTGAGCTAGATGCTTCCGTTATGGTTTTATCAACTTCTTAATGCCATATTTCACATACAATCACGTATCCCGTATGTCAAATGAAAGTTTCTAGAGTTACTTTAGAACTGCTTAAGCATGTAGGTATCGAAGTATTAAGGTGTTCAAGGCTTCTAAAAGCTTCGTAGATGGATGAAAAGGAACGATTCATGAAAGGCTCCCATTCTGTTGGTGAATCACAGCCCGTTTCGAATTCCTGGATGCATGCATATATTTATATGCGTAAACCACAACAAAAGATACATGATTCGTAAAAGCAAAGAACCTTACCATACCAGCTATCCAAGAAGCCGTGCGCCAGCCTGAAGCACAAAGTGTATACTGTATATCTTCCACTTCACCTTCCCGCTCCATTGATCTGAGTCAGTAACCGCAGGCCCGTCTGGCGATATTTACCGCCTGTCTCTGGGACCGGGGTCGGCGGCAGGCCCGCTGGCGGCTGTTCCCTTCAACTGCTTCTCGTCTCAGCGGCCTGGTTCAGTGAGGACCCACTGGGCGCTGTGTTCCGTCACCTGTACCCGTGCTGGCGGCGGCAGGAGGCCCGCGGGGTGCTGTTATCTTCAGTTTCCGCTCAGCTCAGCGTACAGCGGGATCGGGGGCGCTAATTTATGTTACCTCTGCCCGTACCTGCTGCCGCAGGGATCCGCAGGTGCCGCTGTTTTGCGGCGCGGCCGTCGCTGGGGTCCCCCGGAGACGCCTACCATTACTGAGCTGGCCTCAGCCGTGCTGACACGGAATGCCAACGAGGCACGCCGTGCGGCCGCGCACACGACCCTGTGCATACATATGGGGCAGTCAGGGCTCGTGTCAGGCAGCGCCAGGGCAGGCATGACTGATTATCTGTCAATTAGCGCTGAAGGCGGATGGGATGCTGCCAGTGAAGCCACAAGTCGGCCGGGTGATTAAAATGCGGTATAGTTTTTCGGTCAATATCTGCCCTCGTGGTTTGAATATCTCACGGGTTCATCAATCCGTGGCTGCGACTCCCAGTGCCGAACAGGAAGAGACCTGTCTCTCTGGATCACTGTTTCTGTCTCCGGCTCCGGCTCTGCCGTTATGTAAGCACGTGCCGGGCTCGTTCTGACTGCCTCCTCCAATCTGCCCGCTCCAGTGCCACCCAACAGTGACACGGACAGCGACTAGGTAACAGAGATGGCTCGCCATCCAGCTGATGACCTCGTGTCAATGTGCGTGTTGGAGCGTGACACACAGTCCGGTGTCAATTGACACAGCCGCCTCATACCATTCAGCGCTGCCGTCCGTGTGGCGTGACTACCGGGAAGCTGTGTAGTGGGTGGTCGAGTGTATGGTGTAAGTGGCACCGCTGGACTGAAAGGAGATGGGCGTCATCCTTAGAGGCAACAGGTCTGACCTGTCACAAGTTCTTTGAGTTCGGTCCCTAGAGGAAGAAGTATTTGACCTCTCCTTGGCGCGGCGCTCACACGCACGGTGTTGTTGAATTGGTTTCTGGTGAAGGGCTCAAGACGCTAAGCTGGGGCTTTGCTACCGATCGCAGCCGGATTTAGGCGAACAAAGTGCACACCTTTCCATTATCGATTGTGGAAAGTAATGTCAATTATTGGCGTTTTTTGGCGTTTCATCTCCGTTGCTTACATGCTACAGGCACTTTGTAGGACAAAGTATGAAGTAGCTCTCAGATATACGACTCGAAAGTCGATATGTTATGAGTTCGGGCGGAAATAGTTTTTCATGGTTTGTTATCGTGACTGAAAAAGTTAAGTTCGTGACTGTCTGTGGATCCCCGTGATGACCTGAGCATTGGTATGCCGGAAAACTACCTACATTATGAACTTGGTACCGTTGGTGGTCACTGTCAGGATGCCAAATCATTGGTGCGAGGCCTTTGTTATGTATGGACACTATTATCAAAATAAGACGGTCCCAAACACAGCAATGTCCACTGTCCATTCATCATTGTCTTGTTTCTGGTTACTGAGAATGATAAGCGAGAACCCATTTCGACGAATTCTGATATATGCGGGTTGAATCGTCAACGACAGAAACGCTATGCTATTAGGCAAAACCTTGTTTGATTGTCCATCATCGGCATATTCAAAAGCCACTTAGGCGTGTAATGATGAATTGGCAGTCTTCAAGTGTTTAAAATGATCCGGGCCTGACCAGTAACCCACGAGTAATTGCATGTAAATGATTTAAGTAAGGATGATGCAAGTATTTGCTTTGTTCCCTCATTTTCATGGAGTGATTTCCGATAAGATGTGTCGCTACGCTCGATGATTATGCCAATTGCCGATTGTTACTGCATGACGATCTTCGATGACATTGGTCGTAGATGACATTGTTATGTCGTTACCAAAGCAATTCGAGTATTGTAATGTATGTACGAGCACGTCATCAATGACAATAGACCTACTGTTATCTTTGATACTTAAAGGAAGACTGCCACCTTCAAAAAGTTTTCTCAGATCGGCCTATGATTTATTCCCTGGACAAAACAAAATTTTAGAATTCACCTGACAAAGTATCATCACGTGAATCGCGAAAAAAATTGTCGATTATCATACAATTATCAATCGGTTAATGTCTAGCGACAATGTTTACACATCACTAGACTTCAAGGTCATAAGATTATTACATTTTATTTGAAAAAGTAAGGTATTTTATGATATACTAATATATGATTTCATAAGAAATTGGCCATGTTTAATCTATTTTGCATTTAAGTTCGTAAAACATTTAAAAATCATGGCTCATTTGGAATGGGTGTCGCCCATGTTAAACCCCATTTCCCACACTTTTTTTGGAAAAAATGAACTACTGAATATATAAGTTTAACTTTTATTTTGACACTCCAAAATTCTTCTCTGATCTCGAAACAATCAAAGTTTTGACATATATTTACCAAAAGATAAGAAAATTCATGTTTCAAAGTTATCGATAAACAGTAGAGATGTCGGTTTTCTTGGACTAAAAAATGGCATCAAACTGAACTTTGGTCTCCGATTTCTCGCAAACGGGTTCAAATTTCGGAAAACCGACTTCAGTCTGGGACATAGGTGACTCAGCTCTAGTGAAAACCGTTTTGTGGAAAAAAGGTGGCAGTCTACCTTTAAATACCATATAAAAAGCAAGTGAGTGACAACCCAAACTTGTAAGTTTGCTTAGGTAGAAAGAAGCCAAGCGGCTAGCGTGACGGACTGACCGGCAGCTGGTTTTGTATGTGAACCCGTAGGAAGGTCTCTGACCGGGCGCTGGTGGAGGTAGAGTGTAGACTGCCCGGGTCCTGCTGGCCGATCTGACCCCCGCCCGATCCCCCCCGCCGCTGCCCATGCCGCCCACTCGGACATCTGAACGCCGGGAGCTGAATCAAATCAGTGGATCGCCGGCCGGCCGGCCGCCAGACGCGTGTTATCTGGGCCCGGCCAGATCACAGACGGCGCGGCGGCACGGCCGGGACGGCTGACCTTTCCAGCGGCCGGCGGACGCCGCCGCCTGACCGGACTCTAGGACCGACCCGGGCAGCGCCACCGGTGGCACCCCGTCTCCGCCGACCGTCCCACAATGCCTGCAAATTGACCCGCCCAGCGCCTGTGCCAGTTGAATTCGATGGTCGTCAGGGCGGCGCTATGGTGTGTTAAAATTCATCCCTCCGCAGCCGGACTGAATTGAGAGCGTCTTTGTAGTCCTCTCTTCGCCCCCAATTGGGTGTCTGCCTATTGGTGATCCATCTCCTGGTTACATGTGTCAGCGACGGTGGAAATTCTGCAGTCTGGATTCAGTGGAAACCCCTTGGCTCTGTATTACCGAGGCTGCTCCTGCATTGGAAACACCTCATGATGCTGCCCTGTCTGCTCCGGGGCATTGTGGAGATGATCCCACTGACCCCAGCGGATATCTGCCGCTAGTCGGTGGGTCTTTGTGGCTGTTGTTTACGATCACTGCTTCTGTCGGGATCGGTCGGCCTCAGGTCACAGGGTATGAGTGTGGTGCTCGGACATACGGTCTGTGAATGTTCCATGCAATCGTAAGGCGGGTCTGCCGCGCGGGTATAGTCAGATATGAACGGCCTCACATGTTAGTCACACCTCTCTGCCCCCGCATCTTTTCTTTTTGAATTATTCACAAATCACATGTATTTTTTATTGTCAAAGCACTGCGTATGCTGTGTACACCTACGCTGCCTCACTGGCGTATATTTAGCTTCCATTTACTCTTTACTCGTGATAATGACTTTACCCTGGAGACCTCGGTACGTATGTTTAGCTGTAGCCTACTTACTTGTGAGAGCTGTGTTACCCTGAAAATCCTGGTCCAAAATATCTCGCCGGGTGGGCAGCGCATTAGATAAGTGCCACTGCAGGTGGCGGGAGTGCCAGCGCCGTCCGTTACTGCCCCTGTGTAATCCCGGGCGGGCGCCGGGCCCATGAACAGCTGCAGTTGGGCCGGTCCGGCCGGCCCAGTTCATTACTTCCAAACAGCCGGCTGAGCCGAGTGGCCCGTTAGCCCGTCTGTGCCGGCCTCGACGCTCCACCGCAGTACCCACTCGACTTGGGGCGCCGGGGCCATCCTTTTAGCGCGGACGGCTGGCGAGCGAAACAGTCGGCACCGAACACAGATCGGTCAGTGGTGCAATGACGCCGTGTGGTGCCCGCTTGAGGTCCGGCGCGGCCTGTGGCGCGCGCGGTGTGGCCACGGCTTTAGGGCGGTCTGAGGTGGAAATGAGCGCCTTGGAAGTATGGAGATGGACAACGTTTGGCGATTCGTGACTGGGTTTGGTGTGAAGTCCGGTTGCTTATGCAATGCTATCCAGCCGCAAGTGTGTGTCATGGACTATGTATTTGTGCTTATTTCTCGTCGTGGTGGTGTTGTTGTTTGACTGACTAAATGATGGATCCGCTCCTCAGCTGTCAGAGTCGGTGTGTTAGGGTCTCTCCAATCGCCTTACCATCCATCCTTCTTTTATCATGTTTGTCCGTCGGCCGTTTGCACCACGTCTTTATCAATTATTCACCAGGGCCGTCAATACCCGCCATACGAGCCTCCTTACCTCCGCTAGTGCCGTCACCTCCCCACACGAGTCGAGTATCTGCACAATGGACTACACAGTGGCCCGCTGTGTACTATCCTGAAACTACCCGTCACCTTGCTGCACGACCCGAGTGTCTACACAGTGCACAACTCACGGCGGCACCCCGTTCGGTGAACTGTTCTGGAATGACAGCTCTGCCGCCGGCCTTATTATACAATCGTAGGCGTATTACATCGGATGGGTGCCCTGCGATATTGTGAAAGTCCTGTATGCTCGCTAAAGGTGCGGGAAATGCGAGAGTTGTCTTGCCTTCACACTCAAAGTGAACTGAACGATCTCGGTGATAGCTCCAGTTAGTCGTGTGACTGTCCTTTTGGTATATTATAATTGAATCGTCGTAACATACGGGTGTAAGAGTGATTGAATGTGAGCACACCCGCGAAACTTGGCACATAACCGGAAGAACGGTAATGTTGAGTGCAGCAACTCGCCTGCTTGGAAACTGGAAAGTGTCTGGTGCCCGGTGCCTGCTAGTAAGTGCCTGCTTGATTAACTCGACAAGAGCTGAGTTCTCCCGGTTATTCGACAGGTTCAGAAAGGTTCTGTCGAATACTTCTTACATTATCGAGATACCTAGTCAGGTCACATTCAGATTCATTTCAATATTTATTTCAGTGAGTTATTGGTGTTTTCTACTGCTCCGCCATGGTTCTGTACCCCTGTGCCGTCCACCAGACCTAGTTTTTTTTCCGAGTCTCCCACCCGCCGCTATGCCCACGCGGCCCGGGGTAGCGTGGGCGGCTCGTCGGTCGCGGCGCTCCGAGCCGGCTGCCGGCGTTAATTACACGGACCCAGCTGGTAACTTTGTCGCCCGCCATTCAAAGCGGCGTGGCAACAGCCGGCCGCTGACGGAGGAGGGCTGGATTTTACAGGCCTGCCTCCTGATGGCTGATCATTGGCAACTCGGGTCACGTGGTTCACGTGGTCGATCATGTGGGACAGTCCCTGACATTGTCGTTTGATTTGAAACTGGAACGAATGAGACTTCGTCTTTATATTTTATTTCATTATTTCGTGGGTTCGTCATTATTTCCCTGGATCATTATAACTAGCTATTACGCCGATAACTTTTGTTTTCCGCCATTTCAACTTTTCAAAGCGCCGCCACGCATTCTTTGGAACTATGATTGGAATAAATTTAGGTAAAAAACAGGCTCTCCTGATGCCATTTTAAGTCTTCTGCTATTAAACGATCTTAAAGAGCCAAGCCATTGTTCATTCACATCAGCACACCATGGAATGATACCCTACATGGGCTGATAGCTTTTACACCCCGAAGCTCACCACACAACTCTCATACATAACAGCGTCACATACACATCCGCTGCCACGGCACTCGGACACTGGGCGGCGGCCGGCGCTGGCTGACAGGGACGCGGCATGCGGCGAACTCTGGCTGTCTCAGAGGACACCGCGCGGTGGACACCTACATTGTGACAATGACATTGTGATAACCGACATTGTGACTGCCTGGGACACCTGGTAGGCTAGGGAGAGGGACCCTGACTGACGCGGTCACCGGGTGGCGGGTGGCGGCCGGCGCTGACTGACAGTGGGACGTGTCTCTCTCTGTTTCAGGAAGAAGCCGTGGTACCTGGAGGAGTGTGCTTCCACCCTGGCCACCACATACAGCTCCGGTCTGCCGTCCCAGGACAAATCGATCGCCACCTGCGACCAGGACGCCGCCCTCCGGCCCAAACACATCTGCACCGTGTCACACACAGGTGAGTGGTCACACACAGGTGAGAGCTCACACACGGGTGAGAGCTCACACACGGGTGAGAGGTCACTCACAGGTGAGAGCTCACACACGGGTGAGGGGTCTCACGCGGGTGAGAGCTCACACACGGGTGAGAGCTCGCACACGGGTGAGAGGTCACACATAGGTGAGAGCTCACGCACGGGTGAGAGCTCACACACGGGTGAGAGGTCTCACACGGGTGAGGGGTCACACACGGGTGAGGTTTCACACCCGTGTCCTTTTGGTATGCCTGGAGCACGCCTTTTGCCCCGGCTAGTTCGCACCTGTGTCCTTTGGGCCGGCTGGTCCAGCCGCCGCTAACCGGAAAATTAGTGCAATTTTGCTTCGATGGTAGTGAACGGATGAAGTTGTCGCAATGTCTCTCTGAGCTTGAAGTCCACGTCTGGCTCTGGCAATACAGTAATTGAATTGGGAGCTGTTAATTAGTTAATCTGAAGTTTAGATGGAAGTTTAAATAGCCTTATTCTTTCGTTAATTCAGGTGAGCTACATTCCGAAATGCTGAGAAGCGTTTGCGTTAACTGAATCGACTTCATAGTGAATCAAATATCCCGAGCGCTCTCCTTTCTGCTGCCCGCACAGATGAAGCCACACACCCGGCCTCTTCGACGTAGTCAGTCAACTACACTTGCCTCATGCAAGTCGTGGCTCTCAGCATTATCTTGTCGGCACTTGTCCAGTCAACCCCTGCCCGTTCCTTACACACGTTCAGCTCGGTCACCAATCGCCGCTACCTGGTGACCGTCGTGATATCGCATTCTCCTTTCCGACATCCACCACTTGACATTTGTCATCTCAACACCGATATCCGACATATATATTACATGCCTACCACTCGGGATCATGTCATGGTAGCATCTCGATCTGTCATTTATCCCGACAACTGACCGTTGGGTCGTCCCGTCTCGGCAGGTACCTCGGCGTCGGCTCCGCTGGCCGCCGGTATCATCGCGCTGACGCTGGGAGCCAACCCCAACCTGACCTGGCGGGACATGCAGTATATTACGCTGATGACGTCTCGGCCGGAGCCACTGGCGCACGAGCTCGGCTGGCTCACCAACGGTGTCGGACGGAAGGGTGAGCTAGGGACGGGATGGGACGCAGTGGGGTGAGGGGGTGAGTGAGGGCTGGACCGGGGTTGGAAATGTATGCGAGGGATGAGCAACAACAAACAATATTAATGTCATCGAACAGTTTTTTTAGGATGTGTGAAAGACGCATTTGACCAGACCCCTCCTCTGAGTTTCTTGTTCTCTCCTGGATCTATCTCTCCATACCGTGTATTTGAGCTCCCCGTTTCCCCGCTATGTCGCTCTGGCAGTGAGCCACAAGTTTGGGTACGGCCTGATGGACGCTGGAGCCATGGTGGACCTGGCCAGGCGGTGGCACACTGTGCCCACACAGCACATCTGTATCACCCCTCTGGACAGCCGTACTCGGTGAGTTTGGGCGCAACCCTCGGTCAGTGCTTAGCGAGTCGTCGCTAAACTTGATTCACTTTTATTTGAGTCTTTTGTATTCAGTTTTAGCCTTTAGGTGATATATACCAGTTTATATTGACGCTATTTTATGTTCGTTCATATCTGAAATCGAGTGAAATGTTTGAGCCAAATAGATAAACTCATGGAATATGTACGGCTCCCTCTGCAAACAACGCCCTTGGGAACGGGGAACTATTCTTCATTTCTATTTAGACGTGTTCGTATGTAAACGCCTGTCATGCATTTCAATTTTAATGATTGCATATAATTTCACTGCATCTATATAATTTATTTCACTGATGGTGGACTGGTCCGTGGCATGCGACCCTTTCTGCATTGCACAATGCACATGATGCATTACCAGCTCATTTAAAGCAAGAGTAATGGGCAGGTTGTGACGGCCGGTCAGTGGCACCGTCAGTTTAATGTCACATGCCCGTGGCTGGTCGGTACCTCAATATACCCTGGGTCGGTACACTGCCGTGCACAGCCCTATCATCAGACCGGCGCTGCGGCGGTGACCGCCACAGGGAACCGATACACTCAGTACTGGCCCCTGGAACGGTGGGCCGTCCCTGTCCCGTCGCGCGGCCCGCACGTGCCGCCGCCGGTCCCGACAAATGTCCCGATCGGACTGCCTATGTTTTATTCGTGGAGGACGCCAGAGCCAACGACGTGGGCGGGCCAGCGGTATGACCGCTCCTCGGCCTCGCGCCTACTGCGTAGACCATGACTTGGGATGTGGAGGGCATTGATTGCCTCATATGGTGGATAACACGACAAGAATGTGGATAGTTCGATCGGTCGAACTAAACGGCGTATCAAATATGAATATCGCGTGATGCGCTTTCAGGGCGAAATGACGGATGCTTTTCGTGCGTTGATTAATTCATATTGAGCGCTCAGAGTGGTATTCAGCGGAAGTCAATGGCCGTCCGGTATGTGGCATTTTACGTAGGCTGACGAAGTACACACACACACAAGGTAGAGCCTTGGTTACCCTCGAATCCTAATAGCGTGTGGCTCCTATCGTAAAAGGCTCGATGTACGTCAAGTTTGACAGATAATCTTTTGCTATGAAAAGCATAGCATCATTATCAATTGTCCAAAAAAGATTAGGCATTGCATTAGTTAGAATAGTCGAAGTCGTTTACATGTCGATACAAATACACGTGACGTCGTTACAAAGGCTGCTATTAGGTATTGTCGACGCGCCTTGTAAACCCACTGGAGTGGCGCCGTCTTGTTAGCCCCAAGAGCCACCCACCTCTGTCGATTCTGTTGAGCCAGTGTTCGGGACCGACGTCTGGTACAGCGTTTCTATGGCTGGCACCTTTTCCATGCCCAGACTGCTCTACCCGTGCCCGGCTGACGTGTTATCAATGTTACTGTGACGGGCGTGGGCGGGCCGAGCTCCCGTGGGGCCGGTGTGGGCCTGGTCAGAATTAATTCCCGCCCCTCCATTGACGACCATTACAGGCTGGTTATGCAGAATAGACCGTGTCCAATTCGTCTTCCCCCGACGGCGGCTCGCGGCCAGGGTTGGCGGCACCATTTACATACCGATTATTGAGAGCTCCAGAATGTTCCGCGGCTCATCGATGGCTGTTCTTCCGCCATCATCGATCTCGCTCAGCGCCTGTTCCATAGTGCTCCCGGGAATTAAGTGAATGGTCTTAATCAGCATGTCAAACTCTCAATTTTCATTAGTGTGCCTTTTCATTAGCGGCCTACAAACATGCATCCAATTAATGTTTTCTCACCCCTGAACTTTGTTGAAATAATGTAGGACGAATTGTGTCACATCCGGGTCGTCAAGCAAGTTTCACGATTGCCTGCTGTATTAATCCCTCTAATGACGTTTGCCCTTCGTCATGATTAAATATTTTCGCCGCCGAAATAGCCACTTAAATCATGTCTGAAGACGGGCATAGCGACGTCGGCGGCCGGCGGAGAGCCGGCGGCAGTGCCGTAACCGGGCGCCATATCTCAGCCCCCGGCCGAAATTGCCCCCTGAATGACACGAGAGGTCCGAGTGGCAGCATGGCGCCGTCGCGGGACGCCTGCTCACAGCGGGGCCGTGCCGGATGTGAGGGGGCGGGAGGGGCGATCTCTGGGCGCCTGAGATAACTGCGAGCGGGGCCGGTGAGCGCCGCCGGGCGGCCGGCCACCGTCGGTGGTGCTCGGACCGTCCGCGCTGGTTCGGGGGCGGTCAGACGGTCATCATGGGGCTCTGAAACCGGCCGGCCGGCCGCCGCAGACGTCACCGCCGGCCGCAAATGTCGCGGCTCGGGACTGCGTGAAACGCTATCGGTGCAGTTTAGTGCTCTGATCGCGCGCGTCTTGTCTAGGGGGAGTACGGGGGTACAGCTAAAGTTTGACGTCTCAAACGTTAGTTGGAAACTGATGAGCTGTACAGTTACGGCTGTCTTCACCGCGCCCCGCCGGAGTTTCCGGCCGAATGTGCTCCCTGACGCCTCTCCCCTGCATCTAATTTCCGAGTGGATGGTCCTACAATTCCAGTAAAGGCCATGTTGCCCCCAACGTACTCGGCTTTTGGATCCATTTTGGCCCTCGACATTTCAACCCAATTAGCTTAGGGGCTCGTCCAACATTGCAATTAGCAGGGCGCATAGTTGGCAAGATGTGCCATGATGCTGAAGAAGAAACCTTGTTGTATGAATGCCCGTAATAGAACTAGATATTCACACAACTGGGCATTATCGGGTGCTGGGTGCTGACCTACCTAGCGAAGGAAGCAACGACTAATCCAGATATGAAACTACTGGGGGACCGTTTTTATGTAGCCAGTAACGGCTGGCTGACCAGGACTGACTTACTGACTCATCGACTATCCGTCCTTCCTTATGACCGAATGTCGATGGTGGAGTCATTATGCATGATAAATCGGTGTCATTATATTGGCCACCGACCAATGTAATGACATGTTCAGTATTCAAGACCGAAGAAGGGAGCCCCTATAAAGAAGACGACTGTCCGGTTAGAACATATTTAGGACCGAATAAGCGGGCCTTTCATTGCGTTGGATGGGGTGTACAATGTGCATAGTCAACAAACGCTCGTTGAAGGGTAGTTAAACGTCAATCCGTTGTACGAAATCAGCCGGGCTCCGTCTCGTGGGTTGTGAGTGGGCTGTTTTGGATGATACTGTTACGGACACACCCCGCGCCCCAGGACTGGTCCATGAGTCGCTGTCGAGTCGCTGTCGGACGGCGAATTCATTAGCGGGTCGGATCTGCGCACCGACGGCGCCCGGCGCCCTATTTAGGGCCCTTCATTTGTCAGGGGTACTGATTGCCCGGGGAGCGTATTCGCCAATTGTATTACACGAATCGGCCCATCAACTAGCGACATCTCTAGTGCGACGTCATAGCCATCCGCCGCGACAATGCATGCATTGAGGCTAGATTTGAGTTGAGACTATTTTTCCATTGTATATGGCCATAGGCATGTCTGTGTCGCCGTAGCCGAGTGGTTAGAGTCTCGGTGTGATGAACGACAGGTCGGTGGATTGATTCTTGCTTCAGCGGTTCTTTTCTCTTAAAAAGAAGTCGGTCGTAGACGCGCATTTTTGGCCCCTACGTTCGCACGCCAATATCGTACGCCCAATAAATCTCTGACAAGTGTTCATCTGATTAAGGAATACCTAAGTTGCAAAAGAACTGCAGTTGCAGTCTATACCTGAACTACCAATTTTGTTACGGCACTGTCGATATTCGTCAAAGTCGGAAGAGCTATTATGAAACACACTCGAATGACAACAGATTCCTGTATTATTTCATCGATCAGATAAGACATGTATAGAGATAAATTGATGACAGCCCGCCGTGAGCATGCAACTTAACAACCAGTCCCAAGTTATCTTCATAAACGTCTAATATAAATCTTTTGACTTTAACTAGATTCCAAGTAAGAGGACTTAGGTATCCCCCTGGCGGCTGAAATGTAAAAGTTATAGTTAGGGCATAGCTCCTATAGATGACGCTCTGACGGCTGGAAACTGATTATCTCGTCCCGTGATTACGCTAACAGCTATGCCGAACTTTTTTGTGCATGGTGATTCTTACACGAAAAGCTATCTAATAGCCTGCTTACCAGCGTGCGATTTTTACTTTTCATCTTAGGTTTCGCTACTTTTAGGTACTTTACCTTGCCAAGTGCCCACCTACTTTCAAAAGGTCAGCGCCGCCCCTGTCAATGCTGCGTGCTATCACCCATTGGCAGTGAGAAATATTGATCAATGAATGGCCATCGCCCAGCACCATTTGTCTTTCCATTGGCTACGTTCGCATAGTATGCACTATGCATTAGTGATGTCAATCACAGAAAATCAGAACACCGCTACCAAACCAAATACAAACAAAGACCATTGGAAAATACCGAAACCGAACCAATTGGTTGGACTGCAAATATCTATCTTATGCAACATATTCATTAGAAGAATGCCTACGTCTGATTTCTTAGGTGCACGCCGTTACAAATGTATAAAAAACGCACAATGACAGATGACAGATGACACTAAAATCGAAGTCGCCGAGTGGATTCGTACCACCTACCTCTGAATCACCAGTCCGATACTCTAACCACTTCGCCACGGCGACAATGTAGCTCATGTCGCTTAAATGTCAATAAGTTAAAACCTAGCTTCAATAGACGCCACCAGGGCGAGGACCGAAAGTATGACGCCACGCTGACGTCAATCAGGAGGCAAGCTATTGGTTGGCCGATTCGTGTAATACAATTGGCGAATACGCGCCCGGGGACCCCCGGCCGGACCGGCGGCGCCGTTTTACCAACGCGATTTGCCTTAACGAGACCGAGTGTCGGCGCGAATGAGCCGTACCTCCGGTGGGGAGAGGGAGAGTGGGGCGAGAGGCGAGAGAGCGGCGCTCGTCGGGCGCTAGCGGAAGGCTCTCCGGGGCGCGGTGTGTTCAGTTTCGTGTGAGCACCTACTTGGGTGCCGAGTGCGGCATTGTTCGTCCTGTTTGCCGGCTACAGAGCGGCAGAGCGGAATGCCAAAGGTCGGTGCCGTGCTGCGAACTCGAGCCCAGGTAGTTGGGATGGAGAGTAAAGTAGGTGTTGGAGAGAAGGATTCGTAGGGGAGGGTTGTGTTTAACAGCAGTGGGACCACCATAGCGCTAATGAGCCACGCCTGTCTCGGCTTGAAATGCCGTACCGAGTGATATGTCGACTCTCTCCTCGGGCTGTGTTACCGAAACTGTTGTTTATCAATACCATGTATATTGTCTAGGTCTATCCGTCTGTCCGCCCTGCTGGGTACACGTCCACTGCCTTGTCCGTCTAACCCGCCCCGTCCTCCGGCAGCCGAATCCCACCCGAGGAGGGCGGCGAGCTACACACATCGATGGAAGTGAACGCGTGCCAGGGCTCGCCGCAGTCGGTCAACTTTCTCGAGCACGTGCAGTGCAAGGTGACGCTGACACACGTGCCGCGCGGCGGCCTGCGCATCCTGCTCAGCTCTCCGTCCGGCACTGTCAGCACACTGCTGTTCGAGCGGCCGCAGGACGTGCTGGGAAGCAGCTTCGACCGCTGGCCCTTCATGTCGGTGCACTTCTGGGGCGAGCGACCCGAGGGCGTCTGGAACCTGACGGTGGTCAACACCAAGGCGGCAGCGTCGGCGGGCACCTCCAGTTCGGACAGCGTGCTCAAGGAGTGGCAGCTGATCCTGTACGGGACCGAGCAGGAGCCCGTCCACCTGACACCGGCCGAACAGGTGCGTGTGGGTGACAGGTGACAGGGGCGAGGGGCGGTTTACTGGAGGGTCACAGCCCATATGAGGTCACATGGCTACATGAGGGTCGCAGAAATCACAGCGGGCGTGGTAGATAAAAGATGGAGCTTGGTTCACGGCCTGTCGTTATACCCCTGTTTTGTCTCTGTTTGTCTGTTTGTATGAGACTGTCTGTCTATGTCTATTTATGCCTAGTTATTATGCATTAATGTCATATGCCTGTCTATCTGACTCTCCGCCAGTATGGGAATTTCTGTTTGTCTGTCTGTCTGCCTGCCTGTCTGTTTGTAGAGGTTCGTTTGTCTGCTTATATGAGTGACTTCCGTCTGACGGTTTTCTATAGCGTTCTGTCACTGACAGCTCCGGGACGTCAGTCGCACTCCCCCCCCCTCCATCCCCCTCCCCCAGCGCCGCCGCCGGCAGCGTTATCGTCTGCCGGTGAAGGTAGCATCGCCCGCTTATAGCACCACTGCTGAGGAGCGGCAAGCCAAACACAATTTCCGTGATAAAGGGGAAAAGAGCCGGGCTAACGGGCCGACTGCCTGTTTACTCGAAGCCAACCATCCTCGAGGGAGACGATAGCACCTAAAACGGGCGTCTCGAGCGCTGTGATTGAAAGCTTTGGATCGATTTTGATCTGGGAGCGTTCTCTGGGCGCCGCCCACGCGGGCAGTGATGCGTCGGCCGCAGAGAGGCGAATGCTGACCGATTTACCTACATTGGTGGGTCACTTGTGCTCATCGGAGACGCTCTGCTGCAGTCGGTGGCATATTCATCACATCTTTTATTGGGAGGGGTGTGATGCCACCCTGGCCTATCAGCCCTCTACACCGGCTGCACTAAACTATGAGAGGAATGTGACTAGCGGTCGCGATCGATGGCTACGGGGGTCGATGGCCTACGCTGGAGTGCTGGTAGATGTGCTATTGTGTTGTATGCCGTGTGTAGATGTGGAATAATTATAGCCGAAGGCTGCTGTGGCAGCATATACTAGTAGAGATTGTGTCAGAGCGCCCATCTCCCCTCTTGGCGTCCCAGCGTGGCGGTGCCGTGCGTTTCGACGGCGGTACTACGTGTCTCGATACTGACGGCTCAGGTGCCCCGTGTTTCGGCATTGTACTGTGGTCCATAGTTTGTCCCGCTCCTGACCCGGTCCAGCCCGGTGGCACCGTTCGTCCCTGCCCGGTCCCCGCCTCCGGCCGTAACCGGTCGGTCACGCCCCGCAGTGTGACCGACGGTCAGCTGTCGCAGTGGCGCACCGATTGGCCCGATTTGACCGGACGGCTCCTCTGTCTGCCGTCCGTGACCAGGGCTGGTGCCATTTGTCCGAGAGAACCGCGCCGCCACCGCCGGCCGACCGGGGCATGGCACGGAGGCCGGAGCGGCCTGTCCGTCACTACTTGTAATGCTTTCCAGAATCGCTCACCGTCTGCGATTTCTCGTGAACCATTATGACGTTTTTGTCGACGGATCGTGGCTCAATTATGTTTGAAAAGACTGGAATTGTAGTTACATAATTGCGCATCAGTGTCTCTAGTGAAGCGTCTTCTGAGCTTCTGAATTGGACCCAAGCTGTTTACGCTGATGGAGCAAGATCTGCGCTGGTGGATTAGATCTTCAAGGGTGCTCGACTGAGCGGTATTTAGTTACAGCCAGTGTGTGTGACTAATTTGGCTAATTATCACAGTGAAAGAAGTATGTGTGTGTCCTACCCTACACTAACCTAACCGTCACCCTGAATACGCTGTGCGTGCGTGCGACATGACATTGATGATTGTCTGTCCATGTCTGTCCGTCTATCAGACCATTAGTCTGACCACCCAGTCTGTGCGATGCGGCCGTCTATCTTTGTCTGCCTATCAGACCGTTAGTCTGACACCCTAGTCTGTGCGGTGCGGCCGTCTGTCCGAATCTTTTAGACTGCCAATCTAACCAGTAACCACCCTGTACCCGCGTTGCCGACAGGGCACCGGCAGTGACGCTGGCGCCGGCCACTCTGCCGTGGTCAGTCGCAGCGAGGACTCGTCACCGGGCGTGTACTGCAGTCGCAGCTGTGTGCTGGCCTGTCAGAGTCAGCCCGCAGCCGATATGTGTAAACGGTGCCGCGACCACTATAAGAGGTGAGACCGCGGCGCAGCGCAACCCTCCGCTCCGTCGCTTCTATCCTCAGGATACTGAAGTCCCTCTCCTCCACGTCGCAACCCCCACTCCGGGCTGGACAGGCACCTTTATCTCATGCGGGCTGCCCCTTTGGAGCGGCACCGCTGCTCCCGAGGGAGCGCACCCCGTAGCCGGGTGCAGAGAGTGCTAATTGGGGGACTTGTCGGCCTGCCCTTTCGAACGGGCTCAGCCCCGGCGACTCTCTAGGGTGTCTGCCCAGACCAATGTCTCCCCCTAATTCCTATCATCCTTCCGGCCCTGAAATGGTCTTGTCAGACCGAAAGGGCCTAACCTAACAAAACAAAAAACGCAACGCAACGGCACACGAGTAGTGTGGTCTGTTGAACGGGAACGTCTCTGATTGGTCGTGGTCGAGTACTGATAAAAGGCGCAAACAGGTCCCGGATCTGTGTCATTTATGGATGCTCGGATCCACGTGCAGCTCTCACAGCACTAAGTGGTTGGTTTGCAACATCATAGTAATTGATCTGTATTGATGAATACGTGTATGGCCTGTCCGCAAGCATTGGTGCAAAGTGCCCACATGAAACTTCTTCTCATTTCTGTCTAGTCATTTTACTGAAGTGTCTGTGCCACTCAAAGTTATTATCCCTAAAAACACATCGGCTGACCAGCCACTGTTGTGCGAATTGTACATTGTGGTCTTCAAGCACGAATCGCGAAGTCGCGATGTATGGCGGTCGATGTTATTAAAGTTTCAGCCGGCCGTCTGAGCCGCTCTCGTCACGCTCGGGTGTATTTTACCGGCCGCCCTGGAGTCTAATTAAGTGTTCTGCTTCAGCACAGCTTTGTCTTCAATCTGGTTAAAGTGATTATGCAGAGGCGACACATTGTTTTAGTCTCTTGGGGCGTTGATTTAGAGCCTAGGGGTCATATGGGGTATAGAACCCAGCGCTAGAATAGTGACTCGCCAGACCATAACTAAAAAAAGAGAGTGATGTGTTTCAAAGACTACTGGATATACTGAGTATTGTGTTATTTAAATTGCATCAGAGATGTGTTCTATATTTTACGGTGTTCTTATTGACTGACGTCATTAGGGTCTTCTAGGACTGCCGTCGGGAGGAAAAAAGCCGTATCTAGGTCAGTTTTTCACAAACAAAAATGTTCAGGAGAGGCGAAAACGCGTTTTCATCCTTGCTAGCCGCTATATTTCTCCAATTACAAGATTAAAGATACCGTCGGGATCGGAATGAAACAATAAATTAAGTGAAACTGGTTTCGATTAACAATTTCATTTGTATTTAGTCAATACGTAAAAAGTGTTTTGACTTCAAAATGATCTTGTGTTTCTGCGATTATTTTTTCGTGAATAAGCCTTATCATGGAAAAAAACCCGTATTGTAGGAGTCGCGCAAATAGTTTTACCATGAAAAAAGCCGTATGCTAGTCCCATTCGTTTAGCAACCGGGAATGAAACCGCATCTCAATTTCTAACACTGTATTCGTCATACAAAAATGTAGCATGTGAAACATGGATGTATTTTCACGGCAATCAAAGCCATGGCGAAATGCTGTCATACCAATGGTCGTACCCAGCTCGATCAAAAGAACGAGAAAACGTGTCATTTCATACAGGGGGAAGTAAAGTTCATTTGATTCTTCCCGCTAACTAATGTAAATTGCACAAACAATGCACAACAATGAGATCATTCGCTGGTTCCTGTGCGCTTTGAGCCTGCTGACCGCTCACCCTTCTCAGCTCACGGGCCGCAGAATCCCGGAGGCTCTCCCGGAAGTGGTGCCTCTGGGGTGGCAGTAGCGGGAGGAGCTGCCGCTTCAGCTGGAGAAGTTTCGACTTGTTTACTCCTCTCGGCTGACACTTTGACTTTGGCTGCTCATCAGGCCTGAATCTTCCCTTGGTGAGGTCAAAGGCCCGCCATCCGTTCATGTCATGAGATGTGTTAGTGAACACAAGATGCGTTCCACGGCGAACTTCGATCACTTTGAGTGACGCCAGGTAGGGTCGGTCGTCCGAGGTCTCCGAGGATTTTCAGCTTCTGGCTGCTGATGCCGCTGTTCACTTCCAGGAAGTCTTCGGGTGTCTCTCAATCAGTCAAGATGACTGTTTGATGGCCGATTTCAAATCTTCAAAGTCAGCCACAGCCTTTTGTCTTTTAAGGCCCTTGTTGCACACTTGATGCACTGCATCAGCTGTCATGGAAGTGTGCCCTTTTTGCAGGTACTTCATTGTCACCTTCTGTAGGGTTCCTGATGTGTCATTTACGGTCTGAATGAGCCTGGTGATGAGCACCCAGTTCTTGTTCTGGGCTGTGCAGTTGTCTAGCCAGATAACTATTTGGCCGAAGCCTCTTTGCGCCCATAGAAAGCGGATGGATGCGGGTGTCACGTCTTGTATGTCCCTTCCCGTTAGACCCTCATGCCAGAGAACAGAGACTGGCCTCGGCACCTCTCCCGCTTTCCAAGGACGTTTGCCCACTGCAGGAAACGTCTCGTTATAGACAACGAGACGCGACGTGAATATGCACTCTTTGTGCGGTAGTTGAGGGAGGAGGAATATCCTCATCATGTCCCCGGACACAACAAGCTCACACTCATCCCACACTCTCTCTCTCTCTCTCTCTCCATCTTTCTGGTAGGCAGACCTCGCCTGGTTTCTCGACCTGATGTGGCCTTCATGTTTTACACAAATGGAACATGCGGTACCTTCGTTGGCGCATTCATGTAGGGCATATTCTGCGCACTCGGAGCACTCTTCCGTGCCAAGCTTGGTGAATCCAGCATTCATCCGCTCCAAAGCACGGCGGTATGTCGTTTCAGAGCATATGTCCTTGCCATGAGTTTGCTCGAAAGGGCGAAACAGAACTGATGTGTTGAGGTCGGCTGGCAGATATCGGCGGTTCGGGCCTCGAGGCACGGAGATAGCGATAGTGGGGTGCCACGGGTTTGAATGACAGGATATGCTGCTCTATCATGTCTTCATTGATCTTCTTGGGTGCCGGCTGTCTGCCCCGCTTGTCCGCTGGAGCCGTGGGCTTAGAGGTGATGCTGTTCAGCACTGACTTATCGTTGCCTGTCTTAAAACCAAGCGTGCTGAGGAAAAATTCCTTGCACACCCGGACTTTTTCGGAGCCCACTGGCAGATGCCACTGTAGTAGACGTCTTCTCTTTCGTTCCTGTCCTGAAACAGCGCCGTCTTCGGTGACGAAGCGACGATACCACTCTCGTCTGGCTGTTATGGGCAGATTGTTCACAGTGTCATTGATTCGGCGCCGCTCAGCCTCCGAGACGTCACCTACGCACTGCTGTTTACACCGACCTGCCATGCAGTCACCGGGGACGTGAAGCAACGGATGCTTTGCAGCAAACCCCGTCGTTTAATCCTCCTTGGTTCTCGCGCGTTTCACTTTGGTGAGAGCGGTTTCAGCAAAGTGCAGTTCATCAGCGACAGCGAGATCAGTGACTCCGTCGGGTGTCGCACATCTGCTAGGGTTGGATTCCCTAGGGTTGGATTCCAGCGAGTCACCAGCGCCAGACAGCTGCACCAGTGTGTTCTTTGGGCTGGAAGCGACTATGGAGCAGAATCCGTCATCTAATGGAGCCGAATCTCACAACGGAGCTTGCTGCTCGCTAGTCATGTCGATTGACGACGAGGCAGTGAAGTCCACTGAATGAGCTGTGTTGAACAGCACCAACATAGAGTCACATAGCCATGACATTCCACTTGTAAAGCCACCGCTCGGGTTAGCAGTCGATGCCTGATTGATGGTTCCTGACTTAATGGCCTTTCTGATTAGGCGAACGGCGGTGCAACTGTTTCCGGCGAGGCGGACTGCAGTACATCTTCTGTCTCCGGAGAGGCAGACAGCTGTTCCAGAGGTGCAGCAGTCTGCGGCGAGGTGGACGGCTGTTCCAGCGGCGCAGCTGTCTTCGGCGAGGCGGGCAGCTGCTCCAGAGGTGCTGCAGTCTGCGGCGAGGCGGGCAGCTGCTCCAGCGGCGCAGCTGTCTTCGGCAAGGCGGACGGTTGCTCTGGTAACGATGTCACATTTGTGACACTGGAGGGAATGTCTGAAAATCAAGTATCGCGTTAGAGAGCAACAAAATCACTTCTTTTAGAGATCGGGCAGATAATGACTAAATAACTATCAGCGTGTTTCTTGCAGGATTTGGTTACTCAGCAGAGTAAGAGAGTAGTGAACCCTTTTCTATATAAATAGCATTTTATCCTCAGAAAAAAAAGAAATAATTTAAGAAAGCAGCACAACATTACAACACTGGAATGCTAATAACAGGGGAAATAAAGGGTTATCAACTTGAGATGATGTTTTTCGTACTCCAGCGTAGATGGGTAGCCATACGATCCCCGTATAGCCCAAATCTTTAACGAGCTTGCAAAAGATGACTGATGTCATCACTGTCAACCGTGGAAGCCGTATGGCTACCCATCTACGCTGGAGTACGAAAAACATCATCTCACGCTCTCAGTCCCAGCGGATAAAAACAACACCTAAGAAGGGTTATCAACTTCTTACAGGTACCTACCTTTTTTTAGAAACTCTGCAAGGTGTTTATAAATTGTGAACTTACCAAATCGAGATTGCGTCTCCTCTTTGCAGCAATGGTCCTTGCCACACAGAACCATGGTGCCGCATCCGCACACGGCCGCCGGGCCCCAGGGATGACCCGGGTAGCAGCCGCAGGCCCGATATGGCCACTTAGTGCCATTCTCCCATTGACGTGTCGTCCCAATTCACTCTTATCACGCCGCGCTTCTTCCGTTTCTTTTTGTCCATGACTAGGATGTCCCTTATACTACTTAATTTAAACACATAAGTTTGAATGACAGCTTCAAAGCACAGAGTGCCTTCCAGCACCCTGTCTCTACTGAGACCAAGGCCCTCTAACCACTGAGATTAACCAGGTTTCTGTGTCTAGGTCTTATTCAATTATTCAAGTAGTGGTGGTCTCTTTCTCCGCCCACGAGACGCCCCTACCATATATGGCCATGACCACGCCCACTGCCCCATATTCCCTTGCTTAGTTTCCTAATTAGGTCACAGACTGCCACCATCACGTGGCAATTATGCTGTTGATTTGGGCTCTTCCGCTAAGGAGATACAGAAAAACATGCTTGTAAGGATATACGGCTTTCTTCCAGACGAAATAAGCGATTATTTTGCATGCGTTTCGCCAGGCCGCTGAGCCGTATCCATATCCCAACGGAGATACGGCTTTATTCCTGACGCAATGTAAACATATTTCGTTCTTGAAATCGCGCCTGAAAGCCGTATGTGCCGAATTGGCACATGCGGCTTTCTTCATGCAAAGTTCAGTCACGTTTTGATAGAAAAGCCGTTTTTGTTTGTTATGGTATTAAGTAAAAAAAATTTTGGGTTCATCTTGCACAAAATTGAGTACTGCCATTAAAAGCGTCGTGAAAAGAGCTTTCCAACTATATCAAAAACGAAAAATCGGTAAAAATCGACTTACGGCTTTTTCCCTCCCGACGGCAGAGGACGCTAAGTTATCCGTTGTCGTCCCACACATAAATTAAAATCACTATTATCAGTCGACTGATTCTGTAGGTATGTAGTGACGATCCATTTGTACCCAAGCATTTCAAAGTCAGTCAATATGCGAGTACACATTCCACCTCCTTTTGCCTCTTGAAGGTCTAAGTTATGTTCTATCCATGCCACCGAAGTTTGTCGATCATTTCCCTCCTGTTTGCTCTTCTCTGTTCCACTCGGCTGATTGGAAACGTCTGGCTTTTTTGCATTGACCTGTCTGGGCTGTCTGGTCTGAGGCTCATTGTGATAAACCCGCTCAACATAATGGTAGAGAAGGTTAGAGATGTTATGGCTTACAGCCTGTCAGCATTATTGGTGCACACGAGTAGCTGCCGCGTTGGCGCTTCCTTGGATTGCACTTTGTTAACATTTTCTAGGTGAAGCAAGTAGATTGTTGTATTCTTGGTAACCATATTTTTACGTTTTTTTCTCTCCTCTTTTATTATATATTCGCCAGGAGTGCGAGCTCTTAGTTGCAAGCTTGATCAAAGCAGGCTAATTGACGGTGAGGCTTATTGGAAGAATGCGTCGCGTCCTTTGATCACCCCGATTCAATTACTGTGTTTTGATAGGATTTCCCGGGCCGGCGGAATAGGCCTCGGCACACCGTCGGGCGGTCGGAGCGCTGCGTCTGCCGCTCGGGAGGAGGATAAGCGCGGCCGGCGGGGGGAGGGGTGTTACCGTCTTACACCCGTCTGACCCGCCCCCTCCCCTGCACGCAGCCCGTGTCAGCGCTGGTGTGACCCCGGCACGTACTACGGCGGCGAGGCGGGCTGTCAGCCGTGCCACGCCACGTGCGCCACGTGTCTGGGCCGGCTGGCCAACCAGTGCATGGACTGCGCGGCCGGCCACTACCTGATCGCCGACCTGAGCGTGTGCGTGCCCGCCTGTCCGGACGGCTACTTCACAGGTAGGTCGGCGCTGCTGGGTGGGGGGAGGAGTGGGGGGTGCCGCTCAGCGGACTGAGTCTCACCCCGGACCGGGTACGTCAGTAGTAATTATGTAGTAACTGATTGTATAGGTCGCCGTCCACTGGTTAGGCGTGCACATTTACGCGCTAAATTTAACATTAGAGCCTATGGGCTGTGTGCTGACTGCGGTTCAGCGCCGAATCCGCGATGAAGCGCAGTCATCTGATTATTCGTCGGCTGGTCGGCGCCGAATTACGCGCTGACGAGTTGAAATAATTGAACTTTTCAGCGCGCGCTAGGCGCTGAACGATTGCGCGCTGAATACGTGCCTAACCAGTGGACGACCACCTTTAATCTGACTGTAAATATTTTATGGCTCTGCTCTGAAGCTGTCCACCGACTCGCTCCATCCCTGACCTCTGACCTGTCTCTCCGTCCGTGTTCCGTTCTGCCGACAGCGAACGAGACGTGCCAGTCGTGCGGCCCGCACTGCACGGCCTGTGACGGCTCTGCCAACCACTGCGTCAGCTGCGCGCCGCACCTGTTCCTGCACAACAGCCAGTGTGTGGCCTCGTGTCCGGCCGGCACCTACCGGCTCCAGCAGAGGTCAGTGGGGCGGTAGAGCGCCGTGTGAGGTCACTAGAGGTCAGTGGAGTGGTACAGGTCCGTATGATGTAATATAATGTAGATACCGCAGTTGATTCAACATAGATTATCTAAGGAGCCAGCTGCCCGAATCGATATTTTGCTAATAGCAGCGCGCTTCAATGCGAGCACTTCATTCTAAGGGCTGTCCGATGGTCCAACTTGTCCGCCCGTGCCGCGCCTTCCTCGCGCTTCTAATTGACGCTGAGCAGGCGTGCCCGATAATCGTTACACGAGCATTCGCTGCGGCCATAAGCAGCGCTCATCACGTACCCCACCGGTAGGCAGTTGATGGACACTTCAAAGTTTGGCTAGCCACTTGGCTATGCAGGCACGCCGTTGGCGCACCGCGAGTGCATATATAACCAATGCTAAAGGTCTCCGGTATCGGCCGGTCGTCGTTTGTAACTGTCTGTCGGCCGGACACGGGTGCTATAAAGCGAGCGCCGTGCGTGGGCAGCGCCAACTTCGGGAGTACGTGCCTCGGCGGGCGGCGGGCGGGAGGATCCATTCGGTAATGAGCGAGCTATGATGGAGCTGTCGCTGTCCGGGGGTGGGGAGGGGAGGTGCCGCCTGTCGTGGGGGCGGGGCGGCAGCGGCAGTGGTATGTGTATACCGTATGTCGGCACACACACACCATGAATAAACCATGCCGCCGGAAGGAGCGACGAGCCGACTCTACCAACGCGACGAGCCGCGGCTTCTAAGTCTGCCTCTGACGACGAATAGACACCCTGATGATGTGTTTGACTCTGCGATGGCTAACATGCGTTGGTGTATACTTTTGCGAGCTTTGGTTCCGGCTTGACTTCCGATTGGGCACCTAAGCCAAATAATAGGGACTTTAAGTAGAGGTGAAAAAAACAGTAAAGCAGTTAAAGCTCTGCTTAGACCTGAAATCCTGTATGGAGTGTGAACCCGGCTTCAGAAGCTGCCTGACTGAGAGGTAAAGTGACAGGTGTTAGAACAACTCCTGGATGGGAGGATTTTACCGGCTTTGTGTGCCACTGACTCACAAATTTGTCCCACTACCCTGCGCGGTGAAGAACAAAGCTTCGAAAAAGCACTTTACGGTCCCCGTTGTGCTGCATTTTTCACTCCCAGGAGAGTCTGTATTGTGTTAGCCCAGCTTTGTAGCAAAGCGCCCTGGGGATGTCGCAGACACAGCCCACGTCCTTCCGTGATTTAGATGCAGCTCACGTTTCCCGCCCGGCGTCCCATTCCTTGTCATTTTATCCGTTTAAACTCTGTCCCTCCTCCTGAGGGAAGGATTTTAGAACTTGTCAACCTGATCTTATTTTATTGAAAAAAGAGAATCTAGTTTCGGAACATTGGTTAAGTGTCGGTTGTGCCATAAAGTCTCATTCATTGCTATTTAGCCAGCTAGATATGTGATTTAGTTTTGTGTTTATTAGCTGTGACACTGTCTCCTGTCCCATCCACAGGTGTGAGCGTTGCGCCGACGGTTGTATGACGTGCATCGGTCCGAACGACAACAACTGTGTGCTGTGTCGCCGGGGCCTGTTCCACTTCAACGGACAGTGCGTCAACTCCTGCCCGCCAGGTAGGCAGTGCGGCCGGCCGTGACACGCCCGGCCGCACCGCGCACGCCTAGAGACGCGCATGCAGTGTCCGCCGGCCGCCCCGAGCCCGCCTGGCCGGCCGGCCGGTCGCCGAGGCAATTTGGTTTGCGCTGGCCGGTGGCTTACCTGAGTTTGCATGGAGTGCCGGAACGTGGGGACCAGCGGCTGAGTGGTAAAGATGGAGCTGCTGAGTGGCTATGAGGCGGCTGCTGAGTGGCTGCGGAAGCTTCTGAGTGGCTGGAACAGCTGCTGAGTGGCTGAGGCAGTTGCTGAGTGGCCAGGATGCCGGGGTGGGGCTGGGAGTTGTGCCGAACCGAGCCGAGACGCTTACTCGGCTCTACACTGCCGTTGGAAAGTCGGGATCTACTGAAGAGGGCTTGAACCCGACTGGTTCGAAACACTGCCGGCGACTGGAGTCGTTCAGGTTCCAAGTGATTTTACAGATCCGATGCGCAATATTTTACGAGATTAGCAATATTTTAGATATAATTATACGAGCGGTGTTTGGCGCTGCGGGGCAGCGGTGGCGGGCGGGTTGCGGTGGGATGACGGGCGGGCTGCGGTGGGTGACGCCGATCGGTGGGTCCACGGGGACGGGATTGCGGTGGGTGGAGGGGGAGAGGTGGTGTGAGGGCCCGTTAGCGCCCAGGGCCGTCCGCGCCGGTTAATGCTCTAGTCTGGCGGACTGTTGACAGGGGCTGAGCCCTCGTGACTGTTGTACCTGACCGTCTGTGATATGCTGAGCCGGTCGGATCACCAGCTGCCGTGCGGCTGCCGGCGCAGCGCGGAAATTGTTGTGCGGTTCGGTGGTGTCCAAATGTCAGCACAGTGTAGTGTTTGATCAATAAATACCGAGTTGGCGGAACGGTGCGTGTGGATGACCGGCGGACTGTGCGGATCACCGGCGGCCGACCGACCGGGCGACTCTCGGCTCCGTGACCAGGTACGCCCCGTCCCGCCCCTCCCCCCCCCCCCCCGCCGGACGTCAGAGGTGGGAGCGGCGGCCAGGCGAACGCCTACCCAGTTTCAACAGTATCACAGACGTGTGAAGACAGGTGGCATGACTGGACAGCTAAATCATTACATAAACAATAAATGTGTCGCATGTGGATAAAATAAACTGTCGACAGAGTCATGTTTCACCAGCATGCAACGTGAGCACACAACCCAAAGGCACTATTTATTCAAATCACAGTAATATGTAATTGTGCTCAATGTTTTGCACGCCATTCGTCGCTTGGTGGAGTGATTTATCGTACGTCCAGCCATGCGGTTTAGCTGGGCGCCAGTCCGGCCTCTGACGTTCAAATGTAGAGTTTTGGGGTGGCTGAGCCTGACATGATCAATATATCCGCATGTGAGGGAGGCGAATGACCTTTGCTGGATTGCGCTGTTGCTTTGCAGTGGTGTGAGTTGTTTGAAGGACGGACTTGTTGTGCATGTGGTCGGATGAATTCAAATTGGAGTCGCATTGGTCACGAGTGGTCCGTTCTGTCAGTGTTTTGGTCTGTTTTATTGACCTGACCTATCCCCTGGCCCTTACAGTGATTTGGTGCGCGCCTGGATATGTCGGGTTTCCTCCGGAATGAATGTCCAGCTCCAGCCCTGACAAAGTGTTCCTCGAGCCAGCGTTGGCACTATCGACCCGTTCAGTCGATTTTAGAGACCCATAGGTCTGTGCCGTTCCTGTCAGCCAGAGGGGACTGCTGGTCTGGCCCTCAAGGGCTTTTGTCGGGACTGTGTGCAGATAGCTGCTTATCAAAGGTCGAGGAGCAGGTGGTCTGTCAGCTGTCTGTCTTGCCATGTAGAAAGTTGTAGGTATGTGCCGCTACCAATAGCTCTCTCCACATGATCCCCGACGATGCCATATTGGTAAATCCTATGAAGTGTTTGCTTATATAGCATCTGAGGTATCTACAATTTACTTTTACATGTTTTACATATATTTACTCAGGAAAGCTGTGTCGCCATCTACTTGCAACATTCTCTAGCAAGTAGCTGCACACTTGAGACTCTCTTGAGGCTCCGTGACTTGTCCATTGTGGGCTCGCTGATGGCTACTAACCAGATTGCTGCGCTCCGTGGCGGGTGCGCTCTTAGCTTCTGCTTGCGTCTGGCGTCGTTACCGTTGGTCACGTGATCGTCGGCCGCGACGATGGCGTCCACTGTGGCTGAGAGAGACTACGCATCAGGCTACACGCTCTTCATCGAACTAAGTACCGGACGTATGTATGCCTTGCCTGGCAATGCCTTCTGGTTAAGTGATGAGAGTGACATAAATGAGCAGGCAGCAGAACTCGACACTTTGACGCTAGCTATAGCTTGACGACAATGAATATTCTGACTAATGAAGAATTGAATGGACGACGATAATGAATAGATGTGCTTTTCAAACAAAAGTATCGAGCCCTATATAAGTTTTTTTTTGTATCAACATCAGTTTGGACATTTTTCAATCATATGTCGTTGATTGTTGATCGTTTCGACACATTCATCTGATTCACTTCTGTAGTTTTGTTCCATCACTGAAGATAAAGGCATAGATAGCATGTTATCTATGATAAAGGCAACAGCCAACAAAAATGTTAACAGTAGGTACCTAACTCGCGCTCCTCAGGGGCTCGCTGTGGCTGACACTGCGTACAAAGAAGCTTAGCAGCACGAGTCCTCGGCGCTGAAGCCGACTACCAAACGCCCAGCGTGGCACGACTGCCGACCTTGTATCATGGGGAGGGATTAGGTGTTCACGCTGAATGTGTCGCGTCTATGTCGAGTCTTTCTATTATTACTCGCTTTGTATTGCGTCTGGTAAGAGCATTGGCATTACTAAAGGCTGTAAAGTGTATCCTACTGCCCTGTTGTTCGACCAAGCAGAATCGACAGGGGATTGATATTTCCAAGAAAGGTGGGGCGACTGAACAGCCCTCGTGAAGTGGCCATCGATAAGTCATGAACATGATCAACTACATGCTCATGCAAAAGAAACTAATGAAGTTTTATCGTTGGCCTACTTAGCATAAGGTTCTTTTTGCCCTTCGATAGGCAATAAAAACACGAAAATCCTGAAAGGGCCATAAATCGTTAAAAATCTACCTACACCACATGCCCTTCATGCTGGTTCTTTGGATTAGGCACCCGAATCAGCTACGTCTGGCACTGGCACTGATGCTGTTTGCTGGCGTTCATACGACGCGATCGGGTCAGAGCCGGCCGGCTCAGCCTCGATAACCCTATTGTGGACGCTGTTTTGTTCAAATAGATATGATTGTGCTGTTGTCCTGAGGGAATTGGTGGCGGCGGCGCCGGCAGTGCGATATTGGTGAGGCCAGTGTGTGCTATTGGCACAGGCTGCAGCTGGGGATTTGTGGCGGCGAGGGGCAGAAGGGGAGGTATCCGTCCGGCTGCGGCAGGAGGGGGGGGGGGGGGTCTATCCGTCCGGCGGCCGGGTGGCCTATCCGCCCGGCGGGGGTGGGGGCAACCTCTCCGTCCGGTGGCAGGAAGGCCGACAATACCGCTGATGGCCCGGGGTGCTCAGCCCGACACCCCGCAGACTGATTGACAACACCGCGATGAGCGAGCAAATATAAATATAGGTTATGGGTCGGAGGGCCTTGTAATCGTTCATACGTTCGCCTTATCTTGCGATCGGAAGCAGGCATGTCAGTCACCCGATACATTTTCTCGTCGTACGGAATGCATAATCTCCAAGTACTTACATTGTTTGTTGTCGTCTTTGTTGTTGATACCTGGCTTCCGGGCAAGTTAAGCTCATGTTTTACTGTTGTTATTGGGACCAAAGGCTTGAGCTTTAACTGCCGTGGCATTTTTAAGTGACAACTTGTGACGAACTTTTCGCCGTAGGAATTGTTTGAACCTCGACACATTACGAATGCAATATGGCCCCGAGTTAGTCCTTTATCGCGGTCAGTCGTTCGCCATCTGGATTAGAGTCGGCAATCTGCGCAACTTAATTCAATCTTCCCATTTTAGCCGCCTCCGCCCAGCGAGTGTATAAATCTCTCGAGTGAGATTCATGTACCGTGGTCGGCTGTCACGAACGGGTCCCAAATACCCACCTATGGTCGGTAAAGCACCCTGTAACGACACCGGCGGCCGTGGCGCGGCGCCGCACACGTCATCAGCGCAGGTGCCCCCGACGACGGCGTGCGGCGGCGGCCGGCCGTCCCAATCAGACGCTAATGGCGCCGCGGAGAGGGGGTGCCGCGCTGATCCCGGCGGCTGCAGAGTGCCGGGTACCTGCGGACGCTCCCAGCAGCATTGCTCATTACCCCGGCTCGGTCGATAAATGATGTAGAGATTTGGCGGTGCCGTTTCGCCGTTCGCGAATAGGTAATGTAATTTGGCTATCTGTGGAAAATCCATTATTGATGGGAGTAAAAATGTCCGGATGGCTCGTTCGAAGTGCGTGACGGCATCGATACGACAAATGTCAGTGTCGAAATTCAATTTCAATTCCAAAGTTTAATTGGCACATTATTTGAAAGCAACCTTTCAATGTTGATGTGAAACTACTTTTCTGAACGACAGGTGTTAACAGTGCCAATCGAACACGAGTTTCTGGTGCTCAAATAGATCACATTCTAGTACTTCGCTGTAGCTGCCGGTTAATCACTTGCGAGGTGGGTGCACCCGCCACTGCATGGCGGACCCGGGTGCCGCCAGTGCCGTTTACCAATCATGTCGATAGATGGCAATAGTTGTTACCGCCTGAAGTGGTATGCTGTACCGCCTGGCATACCTCTTCAACTCGCAACTGCCACCGCGGCGCGCACATTGAACCAGTCTCTTACCGTGATGAAATGCAGTGGGAATATTGTTTTTAAGGTTGTTTGGAATATAACAACTGCGCCAAGTAAGAATGGTCATCTCTTTTTGCAACTAGGTATATCGATAGAAAATACTGAATAAAAGATAATGCTGTGTTGTCGTCCAACCCCCCCCCCCCCCCGGCCTCAACCTGTCTCCATTTTAAACTCACTTCGTGACTGTATCCCGTGACTGTTTGTCCCTGCTATATATTCATTCCGTGACTGTGTCTACGCTATAGGTATTTAGTGACCGCCTGTCTCCGGTACTGGTGCATTCCGTGACCGTCTGTCTCCGTTATAGGCACATTCCGAAAACGTCTGTCTCCGTTCTAGGCACGTTTTGTGTCCGTTTGGCTGCGTTGTAGTCATATGTTGTGACCACCTGCCTCCGTTATAGGTCCTTTACGTGACCGTCTGTGTTTCGTGACCGGTAGTGTCCGTTGTTCGCACATTCTGTAATCGTCTGTCTTCGTTATGCTTCATTTCGTGGTTGTCTTCTTGGATTGTAGAGGTGTTCCATTATCGTATATCTCGATTGTCGACAAGTTCGGTGACTGTCTGTCTCCGTTATAGGCAGGTCCTGTGACCATCGTATCTCCGTTTTAGGCACGTTCCATGACCGTCGTGTATCCATTATATGCACGCACCGTAACCTCCCGTCTCCGTTATAGGCACATTCTGTGACCTCCTGTCTCCGTTATAGGCACGTTCCGTAACGTCCTGTCTCCGTTATAGGCACGTTCCGTAACGTCCCGTCTCCGTTATAGGCACGCCCCTGTGACCGCCTGTCTCCGTTATAGGCACGCCCCTGTGACCGCCTGTCTCCGTTATAGGCACGCCCCTGTGACCGCCTGTCTCCGTTATAGGCACGTTCGGGGAGGCGGTGAGCGGCGAGTGTGTCGCCTGCTGGCCGGGCTGTGACGAGTGCAGCGGTCAGCGGGCGTGTCGGCGCTGCGCCCGCGGCTGGCTGCCGATCCGCGACGGCACCTGTCATCCGGATAATGGACCCTGTCCTGAAGGTGGGTGGCCACTGCCGCACAGCTGTCGGCGCGGCGCGACACACGGCCAAGACGGGCGTACTGCCGGGCTTTTGTGCAGCACTCGCTTTGGAGAATATGTCGGGTCTGATTTGGCTCATTGCATTATTTCTGTAGGATTTACTTTTTGGAAGCTGATGAATTTGATGTGAGCTCACCTCACTCTGAGCCCATCAGGATTTGTATAAAAAAGCTGAAAAGTAGGAAAGTCCAGGTGGAAATCTTCACATCGGTAAGTAACAACAGCACGAGTTTGGTACGCAATTACTGCCTCGCTTTCATCGCCTCAAGCTAATGAAAAATAATCCCACCAGTGTGTAGGCGCTTCGTTCTGAAAAGCAATAGAAAGCAAACTTTATCTGCATAGCTAATGCCCCAACGAGGGTGATGGAGCGATGGAGCGTACATTTCAAATGCATACAACTTCTGGAATTCCTTTGCTGACAAACAAATGGAGCGTATAAGACCTGATATATTGTGTACGACGTGGGACCTTTAACATAAACAGAGTGCTCGAAACATTCCCTACCAAGTACCAACGCTTTTTCATCATCGAAAAAAAAAACGACCGCTTAAGGATACCTAATCTTGTGAAACGTAGTGTGCCCTTGCAAATGAAGACTTTTATTATGGATAAGTTCGCATATGCTACCTTTTTAACATTCTTTGGCAATCGCTCCGACATTCCCTAGTCTCCTAGCCAACCCATCGATATGCCTTCATCCATACATGCAGACAAAATGTGTGCCCAATGCATGCATCAGTTGAACTCGTATTCTGTTAGCTGGCGCTATGGATTCGGTGCTCAGACTCCGTATGAACATCTGCGGTGTTTTAAACGCGTCGAACCAATTCTTTATGACAAAGGGTGAGTGGCCCCTGTCTAAACCATGCAATGATTGTCATGAGTTGTAGAGCTCTGGCTCTGGCGGCCGGCTGTGACTAATTTCCAGCGTGGTGTACCGGCCGGCCAGGTACTGAATTCAGTCGCTGATGTCATCGCGCGGTGCGGCGGCCGCTACCGCTAGCTTCCGCCGCCGAGTGGCCGGGCGCCGGCCGCTGACGCCCTATCAGTGCCCGGCCGCGCGCGCTCCGTAATGATTGCGGATGTGGGCCGCCGAGCTGGCTGCCGCCGTCGGCCAGCTCTATAGAATGCGTCACCTTCTCCGGGTAGGGGAGGGGAAGCAGCTGCTCCGGGAAAGAAGCTGTGAATGAGGAAGCTGCTCAGAGTGGGAAGCTGTGAATAAGGCAGCTGCAGCTGCTCTGAGGAGGAAGCTGTGAATGAGGCAACTGCTTTGAGAAGGAAGCTGTGAATGAGGCAGCTGTACTCGTATAAGTGAGGGAGTGCAACTGACCAGCTGCAGATGGGGAAGCTCCGCTCACTCGGAATGAGTGCTGGGTAGTGGCGGGTACGGGTAGCTCCTCAAAGAGTGACAGGACTGTTGTGAATGGGTCGCTCCTCTAAGGATGGTATATCGGCTGTGAGCGGGTAGCTCCACTTGGAAGTCAGTCCGGACGACCAGCTGTGAATGGGGCTGCTCGCCTGTGCCCGGTTGGGGCCGCAGACCCCGCTGCGGGCGCGGCCCGCTGAACGAGCCGCCTCTCCATCCCTGCAGCTCGCGCCGTCTGCGGGGAAATGAGATGACCGGACGGCCGGCCGTGTCGCCGGCCGTGATACCGGCTAATGGGACCCGCTAATTGGAACCGGCCTGAGATGTGGCGCCCAGACGCCGCGCGGCAGCGGGAGATGGGCTCCTTATCGCCAGTGATTCAATGTAATTTTTACCTTATATTTATAAATAGTTTTGTGATGAGACCGGTTACGATGGTTACGACGTTTGTTAACAATTCCCCATAGACTACTCTTTAGCTTATCTATCGTACCTAGCACAGTATGTATAAGATAGAAATACATTCTTAAGGCGTTAACTATTCGAAACCATGGCGTACCGTCTAGCTAAGGAGTGCCGTAGTATTTTCTCTTTTCACCGTGTAGGTAAACTTTATAGTTTCCTCGATGATTAATATGAAGGGCGACGGTCTTAGAATACTTTCATCGTGATAGATTAGCACTCTTGTGTGGATGATTAATAACGTAGAAGCACGTTTATCGACTTTGATGAATGGCCCTGTTATGGGCTTCCGCATATGGTTTGCTGGCTGCAGACGCGGACCTTCACCGTTCCGGACGGCACGGTCCAGCGATTATGGGGATAGGTATGCGTGACCAGACCTATCAGGTTAATTGACATTTTTGTAGGTATAAATCGACGTTTCATTAACGTTATAGTTTCTCTCACAACATACACCTAATTTTGGCATTGAATGTCTTTATCTTTTTAATGCTTCATCAAGCTTCTTTGCTATTATTTGATTAACCATTAAATATATGCAGACATGTAAAAGAAATAAACACGTTTTTTTCTTATCCCTGGTGTCTCGTCTTTAGTGGTTCTTTCTCTCTGGAACGGCTCCTCTTGTATCGCCTGCGGACACCTGAGCTGCGGAATTGGAGTCCATCCTGCTGCTCCATTGATTCCCGCAATTCATCACAGATCATTCTCATAGACCAAGGCAGTAACGGACTGGGTGCGCCCCGCTCACCCTATCCCCTGCCACCTCCATTCCGCCGCCCTCCGCCCAAATGGGAGGCATTTCTCATGCTGATCCCTGACTCCTACACAACCGCTGAGCGCTGGGAATCCTCGGCTGGCAGCGTGGGTGCTGGATTGTGTAAGCGGATGTAGCGAGTGCCTGAGACGCTCCTAATTCTAAAGGTGCTGATGCTGCTATTTAGGTTTTTTTCGTAGTTAGAATGTCTTTATAGTTTATTGACCTGCCTAAATGTCTTGCCAATTCGCCGCAATGTGTATGAATGTGTATAGGTATATGTGATTGTGTGTAGTATGTCTGTGCCTCGGTCGGCCCTGGCCTGCGCCGGTGATAGCTGCGGTGGCCTGTCGCATACGTCACCAGTCGTCACTAGCTGCATCAACCAGCCGTGCCCCGGGTACACGGCACGTCCCTCCCCGGCCAGGGGATGGGCAGGTCATCAGATCACACGGCCGTGACTGAGTGTGCATTCACCGCCTCTGACAATATGTTTGAGCGGCTCTGGATGCCAAACATGTGCTCACGCACAAGCATACCCACACACAAACGCATACAACCGCCGCGTGCCGACGGAGCTCGTTAGCAAAGTACCGGTTATCACGTTCCGGCTAGCAAAAGTTAACGGAGAAACTGCAGGGCCGATTGTGGCGGAAATCGATGGCTGCTGCCCAAGCTATCAGCAGGAGGAAAAGGAGCGCGGTATACTCTGTCGTTTCTGAGTGGAAACAGAAGAATGGCTTGCTTCCGAAATAATCAACAGTTCGCAAACTCAAGCAGAATGTGAAAGTTCGCCTGGGGTTTATGGGCTTTTAGTTGATTGAATGAAGAGGTGCCTCCAATATACTGCTGTTCACACAGAAACTATGACAAATTGATGCTTCTCTTAGGGCCTTGGGGTATGATGAGTGTCTATGTATGTTAATCGAATCTTTAATGTTGTTTTCCAGTTCTGGGTGCATTGTAGCTCCAGCAAAAATCATTAATGCTTAGGTAAGTGTAAACTCTCAGCAATAAAACAGCTGTTATCCTGCGTCACTGTCGTTTTCTTCCTCTAGTCATGCGGTAGCGGTGATGGGCCTGGCTAGTATTTTTCACTCTTGTTGAACTGAACCCCAACTGCAGCTGGTGACTGTCAGTCTTCAGCTCTAGCAACGATACACACCTCCGCCGTCTTGTCAAGAGTCAGTTTGGCTGTAGCAGGGCGTCGGGTGGGCCTCAGATACTCAACTCTGATGCCCGCCTGGTGCCTGTCTGCCGTGAGAAGAGGCTTGCCACTGTGTAATATACTCAGATGTCGACAGTTGTGTGAGCTGGTGGGAAACCTATTCACCTGTCCAGTACCAGACGGCTCGAGTCAACAGGCAGAGTCCGAAACACGACGGCCGAGTAGCTGAGTCTGGTCGCCGCGGAACTGTTGGATGGATAACCGAGCCCCTGGTTATTTGAACCCTATACGCTGAGCTATTCGCTGGGTTGTATGGGCTGATCGCAGTTGGTGACTGAATCTCGGTCCGTTTCAGGGGAGTTTTACGACGGCGAGTCGTGCGGCCGGTGCCACCGCAGCTGTCTGGCCTGCACGGGCCCCATGGCTGTCGAGTGCTCGCGCTGCCAGCCGGCCTCCGTCCTGCACAACGTGAGTAGCGCGGCGGGCTGTCTTACTCTGCGCATATACCCAGATGGCTCCGTTTATCCCCCCCCCCCCCCGTGCTGGCGGAGATGGCCAGGAAAGGTGGTCAATCCGCCCGCCCGCTCAGCCGGTACCAATAAGCGCCGTATTTAACATCGCCTGCTATGGCCCTTTACCGAGAAAGACCAGCCAGAACAGTGTTTTCGACTCCCCGCCAGTACGGTGTTATTTTTCCGTGTCGACAAGGCTGTTCAGCGTCTAGTTGAGTGAATCGACTTTGTGTCGTCGCCAGATGTCATTCGAGAAAAACAGGGTACTAACGTCTGGCGCAGGGAAGCTGGATTATGTCTACTCCAAATGATTGTATGTGCTATTTCATCTGCCAGTGCACGAACAGGGTAATAGGCACACTGACAGCATTATTAACAGTTGTTTTTATTTTCTCGCCAATGAATTAAAAAAGTCCTGCTTTCAAACCGAATGGGTCTGGCCGTGATGCAATTACCATAATAGCCTTCTGCAATGAAATGTTTGCCAGAAGAAATAGCTTGTGTCTGCATTGAGTCATGGGCTAATATATTTTATGTACGTTCTGTTTTGTGGGTTCAATCTTTCCTAACCACACTCGTAAGCTTTTTTCATTCCCTTCCCGACACTCTTTATTTCACGTATTCATAACATTGATAATAGTGCATGCATTTACTTAGCGCCCATCCTGGAATATTCTTTCGCTATTCGGACAACACCGCATTGCATCAGCCAATCACACAGCGCGGCCTGCTGACGTCATATCACGTGACTGACCGACCTCCGCGGAGAGTTGGCTTTGTTCCGGAGCCTGAGTGTATGCATAAAATGACTAGAAGCGGGAAATGTAATTTTGTTATTGTTTGCCTGTTTATGGTCTTATTATCGGGCTCCTTCTGTGGCTAATTGCTGTAATGACCACTCAACGGAAGTCTATAAGTGCAAGTCGGTGGCTATGAGGTTCTCTAGCAATGGCTTTATAGTGGTCCCTCATCGTCAATACATATTCGGCCATTTGTGCTTCCTCCCCAATGCCCCCACCTGGCCTAAGTGGTCCCCCGGGGGTGATGCCGCTGCTATACATACGCCTCAGCCTCCACCTACACACACATAGCACACATATAGACAAGGCACAAACATAATTACACATTGACCCGTGATGTATTGACTTACTTCACATATGATGCATTTACATTTGCGGGTGAGTCTGAATATTGAGTATCGAGTGGTTTTACTATGACAGCAGTGCGCAGCGCGCAAGTTTCTCAAGTTGGAATTCATTCTGGCTGGCTCGATGTCTTATAGTTCTATAAACGCCTGCTAAACTGCGCGGTGGACAATGTGTAATCACCATCTGCTCAGCTCGACGCAGCGGCTGAAGCGCCGTGCAGTCAACATCTCTGGACTCCTGCTTTGTGACGCATCGTGCTCTGGCGCGGCGAAAGTGTAGGCTTTTATACCGAATTATATATCGGGGCATCGAGGCTCGTTAGACCAAGACGCGATCGAGACTGGATATACATGGAGTTTGTTCATCAGTCCTCCGTCGAACCAACGCTTCAGAAATTATCACAGTTGTTCGTCTCCCAACATGTTTAACTCTTAGACAGAAATTTTGGAGCGGCTCTTGTCTTCAGTCAATTAGTAAATAAAATTGGGCATAACAGAGGGAGGCTAGGGATAGGTATTGTTCAGAAAGCTATTGATCACGTTTGCTGTATTTCATTCTCACATTTTCTTTCATCTGCACGCCAATTACCCGCCGCAATCGGCCCAATATTTGTTCTGGCGGCTTCTTATAAGACAGTTGCTAGCCACGTGAGTACAGAGAAGTAACGTAATGCGGCTCCCTTTGTGGGCGGATAACTATCTGTGTCAGCGCGGGCGGGCCTCCACGTGACTACGCTGTGTGTGTGTCTGTTTGCTGTTGCTATTGAAAGCCGAGCCGCTGCGGGGCGCTCAATGCGCCGTCCATCGGTCGTCCGGCCGATTGTAGCGCTGAGATGGCGTGCCGGGCTATTTTGGCCCGTGTGTCGTGCGCGACCCGCGCTCCGGGAATAGCTCGGCCGGTGTCCGGCGCGCCTCCGGGCTGACCTGGCCGGCAGAGCCGCGGGCTGCACGTGGACGGTGGCTCGTGGGACGCCGGCCCGCGGTCCAGGAGCGACTGTCTGCCTGGGTGGGCGTCAGAGGCGGAGCGGGCTGCGGGAATCTTGTCAAGTGTGCCGCTGGAGGCTCATAATTGGGCTCAGGCGGGACTAGAGCAAACTGCTGAAGTCGTTTATTAATTTTCCTGTGCCTTTATTGGTTATAAACGTACATATACCATATGCTCACTAGTTACTACTCAGTACTCAATTCTTACCAAACAGCGTGAATTGTCAATGCACATCGCGCGGTGACTGCCCAGTGCCCACTCCCAGTGCCCAGCGCGGCGGCCGAGAGCGTCGTTTTCACCTGCACTGGTATACTGTGCCGCAGCACCCGGCTATGATGCGGCACAGTATACCTTTTCAGTCGCCCACTCCGCTTAGCAGTGTCCTGCAAGAGCGCGCGAAAAGGATGTTGTTTCGTGATTTTTAAAGGGAGAGAGAGAGAGAGAGAGAGAGAGAGAGAGAGAGAGAGAGAGAGAGAGAGAGAGAGAGAGAGAGAGAGAGAGAGAGAGAGAGAGAGAGAGAGAGAGAGAGAGAGAGAGAGAGAGAGAGAGAGAGAGAAAGAGGCGGGACGAAACAGGCAAACAGGCAGAGCCTGCTATCGGCCGATGCTTCCTCAGCCTTTCCATATTTTTTGTCGCTGTTTTTTTTAATGCTGTATGTATAGTGATATATGTTGGTGGCTCGAATCAAACAAGGATGGGATTCTTTTACTTGAAATTGTGTGTGTCCGCTTAAGCCTCGCCTGTGTGCAGCGTTTTCCAGCGTCTAACGGGTAGGGGGTAGGGGGTCGGTCGGGTCCCCTGCCATTCGGGCCCTGATCGAGCTAGGGCTTCGCGGAAAGAAATGAGCGTGCTGCCCGTGACGTGAGAAAGATGATGCTACCCAATTAGGTCCTAGATTATTGGTTGACATTCCAGGCCCGGTCAATGGCCCCCTGTATAAGTGCGAGGGTTAAGTACATTACATTTCATATTTGTACTGTCTTCTTGTTTTACCTGTTTTCTTTTCTTTTCTTTTCTACCACGTCACTAAGCGATTTTCTGCATCTTCTGCATATTTCTTCTGTTTGAACATTTCTTCGCATGATCACAGACCATTATTTCTATGTTTAATGTGTAATTCTACCTGCATAGTGGGGTGGCCTAAGTCACATCAGCGAGTATTCCACCATGTCAATATTGGTTGGGGGTGCTCTGTTTGCGTAAGGTCTGCGTGTACGCCGCCGCCGCCGCGCCCAGGGCCGGGCTGGTGCTGTCGGTGCCGGCTTGGGCCACCACTGAGTTAGTATACAGTTAGTTAGTGTAGGAACTGCGAGTCGCTTGGCAAACAGCCGATTCCGCTGTGGTCTGTATGGGATTTAACATATGAATAGTGGCGTTAGCACAGCACTGGCGGCACTTAGGCGCATGGATGCACTACTTATTTCCTGTGTGGCACCATCCTGATCCTGTAGCGTGCCACTCGGCACCCATCGCCGTGCATTGTTTATGACTCCCTGACAGTGTGGTGACAGTGATACGTAAAGCGCTTTAAGCGCTTATGCTTTGGCTCGGGCTCAAAGCTCGTGCATTTTCAATGGTTCATTCTTAGAACTGTCTACAGCACGTGATGGTGAATCAGTGACAATATTGTGTTATTTACCCTCGCTTTGATTATCATTGATCTTGGCATCATGTCATGTGTGGTGTGTAATATGTATCCAATTACATGCTCGTTTGTGCACCATGTACGTACTTGTTAACGCTCCTTTGTAGGTGTCCCTAGCTTGGCGCGAAAGGTCTACATCCGTGACTTGCAGGAGAATGTATGAAGCTTCTGACAGTGCTTGTTGGACCCAGTTTTTTTTCTTCATTAGGCATTTCCACCGTACTTGTCTCGACTGCTGAACCGCAATTATTCGTGATCGCTGTTTCTCTGCCTACACTCATGGTCTGTCCGTGTCTCCATAATCTAGTGATGCCGTCTGGCCGTCTCGCGGGCTCACACTGTCTCTCTGTACCCTCCTGAGTCTGTATCATGAGGGCCATTTTGGCCTTTCACGGCCCGTTGGTTCCAATGCAATTTGCAATTTGGATTAAGCACCATGTTCAGTGGGCCTAGTGCTAACCGGAACTCTCACGCCGTTCCAAGCGGCCAGGTAGCGGCAAGACCACGTGCCGTGTCCGGAAATTGAACCCGGATGGGTGAATCTAGAGGCAAAAAAGTTATCCTTAGACCAGAATGCTTCCCACCCCTCCTGCTAGTTCCATCTAGCATCATGTGCGGCATCATGGTTGCCCCTGTTGTGCTTACTGCGGCTGTGTCTGTGCTGCGACCCTTTCTGCCCATGTGACCCCTCATACCACCGCTGTGTCTATGTTGTTGGGCCTCTCTCCTGTATAAACCTGTCCTGTTACCGCTGTGTCTATGTTACAGGGTCTTTGTCCTGTTACCGCTGTGTCTATGTTAGAGGGTCTCTGTCTGCCTGTATAACCCATGTCCGTCCGCCCATTGCTGTGTCTTTGTTGCAGGGCCTCTGTTACGCCGAGTGCCCGGAGGGCTGGTGGGCCTCGGACGGCGTCTGCCGGCGCTGCCACCACACCTGTCAGGACTGCAGCGGCCAGCGCGGCTGCACAGTCTGTCAGCAGGACCTGCTGATGCACGGCGACACCTGCGTCACCGCCTGTCCCGTCAGGTAAGTGTTCAGAGAGCACGGACACGGTGAATAGAACCGGATGCCGACCAGTCGGGTCATCTGGCTTTTGGTTTTGTCTTTTTGTGTTACATCTAGGCTTGTTCCTTGCTAGGACCTCCACAAAGTTATCTGTGAAAAACGCGAGAAAAATATAAGCGGGTCACAAATGTGGCTGCGAGAAGAATGCAAAGGAGGAATGTGCTATTGATATGCAGGTGTTTCCTGCACTTTATTTCGTTTTTTATTGTGAAATTTCTAAAACAATTGGCCTTTTGATAATCTGCATTGCCGGCATTTTGCGGACACTTTGTGTGACAAAAATCAAATATGTAGCCGGTTCCATTGTTGATCTAAAAAGGGTAAATATAACCCGGTTAGAATGTACTACCAGTCTATCATTTCCATGTGTACGAGAAGAATAGCGAAAGCATTGTCATGCAACAGGGGAGCCGGCTAATAGCCTATCTGCGCCGGCTGTACCCGGGGACCCCAGCTAATCTGTGGCCATAGACAGAGCCGCCGAGCGATGGCCCGTCGGCCGGCGGTGCGATGACGGCGGTGACCCCGCAGTGACCGATGGTCGTCGCCGGAGCGCGCCGCACCGCCCGTCATAATGGCGGCGCCGGCCGCCGACCGGCCCCCTCGGCGGCACCAGTAAAAAGGCTCCCGGCGCGGCGGCGGCGGTCGTGCTGACGGCCCGTGGCGCCCGATAGCGGTCACGGGTCAGGGGTGAGCGGCTCGTCCGCAGCGGTCGGCCTGAGCCCCGGGGCGGCGCTCGGTGACAGCGGCACATTACCAGAGGCCGCGGAACCCGATGGAGGCGGGGAGGGACGGGTCGGAGCGGTAACCGAGGGAGCGACTGGCCGGAACGGCAGCGCGTGCTGATCCGACTGGCAGCACGGACGAGAAATGCGGACTGGCGACATGGAATAGAGCCGGTTGTTAGGAAACATATAACCTTCTGAAATTTGCATGCTGTGTGCGATTGGTTTTACGTTTTGCATTGTACATTATGACGCAAAACATAAACAGTGTTCGGCCTGTTACAAATTTTGTTTTAGGTGTTGCATGGAATGCTGTAACAATTTCCATATTTTCTGATGACGTTATTTCTTCTCTTGCTGTTCAGCATTTCTATGTAAAATCCTGCGAATGAAAGAACTCTCCCCAGCCGAAAGTCGCTTTCGATGCAGATTTTAGTAACCAAATCACTGCCAGCCCGCTAACTCAGTTACACCTCAATAAAACATCGGTGCCTACACGCTTTCCGGCTCTCATATTCGCGGCGCCATCTCTATTGTGTGCCGGAAATCCGACTCATCCCTCTTCAGCAGCGGGCTGATTTAATCAGACCTGCCTGACGTGCTAAGTCTTCCAAGCGTCATTTGAGCGCCGTTTCGGCTTTGGCCGAAGCTCCGATGTCTGGTGGCAATAGCTCAGGCCATGGCCGGTCGGCGCCGGCCACCGCTCGCTGTAGGACGGCGCCGCGGCGGTGACCAGCGTTACAGGGATATAAATTGAACGGATCATTCGGTGTCGCCCGCTCCGCTGACTGTCGGTGGACCAGAAAGGCCTGCAGCCGGCCGCCGTACCGCTCTGAATGGCTGGCGGTCAGCGGTGGCCTGTGACAGCTCCTATCGTCTCATCGGCGCCGGACGGCGACCGCCTCTGTCGTCATGTCAGCGGCTTTTTCCGGTCAAATGGACCCGGCGCCGACTGGTGCCGATACGGGGATGATGGGTTAGACCCGCTGACACGGACCGAGCTCAAAAGCTAGCGTCAAAAGGCATTATCGGCTCAATGATGAAAAACCGAGTGACAGATTGATTCGGAAGTCCCAGTGGTTCACAAGAGTTTAAGCTGGTGGGATTCTCCCGGATGAACCCAAGGCCAGGAGATCTAACGGATATGTTAGGAGATGCTATGGTTGGCAAGGTTGTATCGGTGAAATAAATTTATTTCATCCTTTCTTTTATTGTCCTCGTTTTCTATCGTTAAGCTTTTCGAGCACCGTTTTCAATTTAACCGGTGTAACTACACTCAATGGTTGTAGATTGACTTCAGCTCAATCTGGCCTCCTCCACAACATTTTCTATTGGCTTGGTTTTTTTGGACGTGCTCTTCAATTTGGTGAAGTAACTAACACTGAACGGCGGTAAATTGACTCCTCTGCGCTGGCTGTGGCGCCTGGTCTGCCGTTCCACGCTGTAGCGGCGGCCGCTCGTCCCTGCAGCCGGGCCGGCCCTGGCTGCTCCGCCGCCGATGGCCCGTGTAGCTCGTGCTCCTTGGCTGCGCCAAGACTCTGGTGAAGGCGTCTGTGACCTGCGGCCATCGCCGACCACTCTGCGCGATTGAAAAACCGCTCTGTCGTCGCCGCCCCAGCGCACACTGGTCGGAAACGCCCTCACGAGAGGCCACGGGTGATTCCGGAGTTTCGGATTATTTTTTATATAGATCGATTTGAAATTGATCAAATTATTATACTTAGGCCAAAAAAACTAATCCGGGTGACCAAAAATAGCTGTAATCAGCCCCCGAAGATGGGGTATCCCAGAACTCGGAAACTGACGCGGAGCAAGAGGTTTCTTGAGCCGGATATTCAGAGTCTTATTGCTGATAGACACCAAATTGAAATCCCACATATTATGCATCAACATGTTCGTTATGAAGTTGCCAACTGGTCAGTGCAAAATTTTTGGTATACTTTTTCCCTAACTAAGATGTACTATAGCTTTTTTATGAAGGCTCTCCTACAGTGATTTTGGAATATAACTGCAAAGTTTAGGTAAGGAAACAACAGGTAGTCCCATCTAGTTCCACTCTGATTTTTTGTGAGATGAAGTAGGATTTAAATTTACACCAGGGCAACATAAAAGCTAACTGCGCATATTTGCGCAAAATTTGCAGGAGCCGCTCTTCCTACCCAACTACCGCCCGCCCCGCCCCAGTTTCGGCTCGGCCGCCGCGCCCGGCTTACGCTGACCTGTGTGGCCTGCACGCATCCATGCGTAGTTGACTGGTCATTAAAAACAGATGCGCTTGAGTTTATGAATTTTGTAAAAAGCGCGTTTTATGTATGCATTTATGTATGTATTGACATCAAAAGCCTTCCACATATTGCGTGGCGATTACGGCTTGCATTTAGAGAGCCTTGCTATTGACAACCATCACTCGGCTGAAGAAAGTGGAAATTGAAACCTTCGTGAATATAAGACGCTGCAAATATAGGACACCTGTCACTGACGTCGGGTTACCTTGGGCCGTCTTTTTACATTAGATCACAATTCCGGTATTTAACCCTGGTCGGACCGATTGGTTTTCTACATTGACCGGGGAGGGTTGGTACAACTCCCTCGCCGATTCGCCTCTAATCGAGCTAGAGCCTCGCGGAAAAAAAAAACAGGCTTGTGTGCCGTTATAAGACGCAAAAATTAGGTACTACCCGATTTTAAGGTCTTAGGTCAGCCAGTGAACTGTTAGGTCAGGTAAGGCACGGGCTCGGTTTTAGGTTAATTACTTTGCCAAAAATGGTCGCACTGCCGCGATTTTGGCATAATCGTGTTTGTCTAGCTCAGGCGCGTTGAATGCTATACTTGGTGTTCGGGTGAAGTCAACTTAACCCTCGCCGGCACAGGCCATTTTGCGTCCTTCGACGGCACAAGGGGGGGGGGGGTATGACCCCCCTCGCGTTTGGCCCCTGATCGAGCTAGAGCCTTGCGGAAAAAACGAGCGTATTGCCCGTCACGAGAGGAAGCCAATGATACCCAATTTTAAGGTCCTAGGTCATCGGGTGACCTTCCAGGTCAGGTTAATGACCCGAAAACCGGGAAAATCGGGACCTGTTAGAAAGTCGTAAATTGTGGCTGCTATGTGGTTTTCCGGGGTGCTGATCACGAATATCGTATTAGTTTTGATCAGAGATGATGTCTTTAAGCATTTAGACCAGGTCGGGTCAGGTCAGGTCAGGTCAACCGGTAGGGGTTGTGACGGGTATTCGTAATACGTGTCAACCGCCTCTGACAGCTTCGTAACATGTTACGAAGACGCCAAAACTACTTCGTAAATGTTCAAATGGTTGCTAAATTCGAATTCAGCTCCAAAAACTAGCCTAGAAACATGTAAAACTCGAAAAAGTGAACCGAGGTCACCCGAGGTCACCAAAGGTCAATGACCTGACCTGACCTTCAGGTGAGCTTGACACCCATCCTAATGTATGGGAGCAACATCAAATCACATGTTTGAACGTTTGAAACCACGAAAAGCTTGCAAACGCGCGGCTAATGCGAGCCGACATACGCCGAATCGCGATTTCGGCCAAACATGGTCACGGAAAAGAGGTCACAGGTCAAAGGTCATTTGGGTCAGGGTCATGAAATTTTCAGGGTAGGTGTAAAATTGATCATTGCGAGGGCACTGAAAGTTTCGTCGCGATCGGCCGCTTTTTACGCGAGTTATTCGCGAAAAACCTTAGGGGGGTTGCATCAACCCCCCTGTGCCGGCGAGGGTTAAAGGTAGACTGCCACCTTTTTTTCACAAAACGGTTTTCACTAGAGCTGAGCCACCTATGTCCCAGACTGAAGTCGGTTTTCCGAAATTCGAACCCGTTTGCGAGAAATCGGAGACCAAAGTTCAGTTTGATGCCATTTTTTTAGTCCAAGAAAACCGACATCTCTACTGTTTATCGATAACTTTGAAACATGAATTTTCTTATCTTTTGGTAAATATATGTCAAAACTTTGATTGTTTCGAGATCAGAGAAGAATTTTGGAGTGTCAAAATAAAAGTTAAACTTATATATTCAGTAGTTCATTTTTTCCAAAAAAGTGTGGGAAATGGGGTTTAACATGGGCCAGACCCATTCCAAATGAGCCATGATTTTTTAAATGTTTTACGAACTTAAATGCAAAATAAATTAAACATGGCCAATTTCTTATGAAATCATATATTAGTAAATCATAAAATACCTTACTTTTTCAAATAAAATGTAATAATCTTATGAC